TCCATGAAGTTGAACATCAGCGCTTTCTTGTGCCCAGCATTCCTCCAAAGAACGGTGCATTTGGAGCGTTTGCAGCGCGCGATTTGTTGATGGCGACTGTTTCAGGAATTGCTCCGTATCCACCTTGAAGGGCTTTCGACAGGACACGGCTTGATTCACATGAGCTCATAATGGTTCCACTTGTTTCCGCCATGGAGCCAGATCTTATTCGATGCAGCGGTTCTGGCTTGCTGGAGGAGTACATTGTGAACTACTTGTGGCGCATTCAAAGGATCGATGTCCAACATGGTTTGACGGCACAGCATGATGGAAACCAACGCAATTTCAATGTTAATGCACGAGAGCTATGAGCTTGGCCTGTGGCAACGATTTGAAGAGTTTTAAGATCAAGCTGCGGGATATTGATGAATAGCGGATGATGGACCAACGGTCCCATGTGAACAGTTTGGTGTTTCGAGGATCCAGCAGATCCTGGATCCGACGTGTTTTGAAGCGTGGGGCCACTGCGTCTGAGATTTCAAGGTTCGTTTGCTGGAAGGCTGTCGCGAAAGCGTGCTCTTTGTTGGGGCTTGTCCTTTTGGTCCATCCGAAAGGGTTTAGGAGATCTAGCGACACAAGCAATGCTCCAGTGTTCTCTGAGGATTCTGTGCGCTGACTCCGAATATACCCAGAAGAAAGGGTATTTAGCTCCATTTCAGTGTGAGATTTCCGGCATTGCCTTGATGTTCATTGGGAAGCGACAGCCGGGATTTATCTGTCCGATGAAAAGAAACTTCGCACCGTGACGGATGCGCCGCTGTCTTCAGATTCCTTCAGCTGGGTTAAAATCCTGGCGAGGGAAGCGAAGCCCAGGCTGGGAGTGGATTGGGATAGGGGTGAGGAAGGCGGAAGCTTGTGCCATGTCGGAGCATGTCGGTGTTTCTTTTTTGTTTCTTGGATGTCATCGCTCACGAAATCATGAATAATTGTGAATTATGGTGCTGATCGAAAAACCCAATTGACATGAAGGTTCCACTTTCTATTTTTGTTAAAAAACGGCTCAAACGCATACTATACCCCCCAAACTACCCAAAAACTGCAGATCTGGATGGCTACCCATGGCCAGGTTTGTGTCGGCTCGCGACCGGCTCGCGCTGGCGCCGGAGGTCGCCAAGGAGGTCGCCAAGGAGGTCGCCTGTGGCGGAGCTCCTGGGCTCAGTGGGTCTTCTATCCATGAAACGAAAATTCGGCGACCTTTAGAATTTCGCGGTGATTTTTTGGGTGACTTAAGGGCTTACGATGGCTTACGCCAGTCGGCATTTTGTGATAAGTAACCATTCAATATGAAAGTCTGCGTTTTCTTTCTTCGGAACTTTTGACGTCGCAAGGCTGGAGATCCAAACGTTCAAATCTACGCCCAAGATTGCCGAATTCCCTCAGAGTTCTGCAGCGCCTCTTTTCGTTTTTTTTTGGTATCCGTTGGGCATAGATCTTCCCAGAAACTGGAGATGCTTGTGGATGGGGTTCTGGCATGCCTTCGTAGTCGTTGGCTCTAGATGGGTGAAGAAGCATCATTATGAATGGTTCATGGTTCTAGTTCAGTTTAAGGATCCCACAATTTGGCCTGTTTGCCTTGTTTGGACTGCAAAAAAAACGAATGTAAAAGCAGTAAGCACACACAGAGGTTATACCGGATACATCCACGATCTCATCCCCAACATGTGAATGACGTATTTGGATCCCCAACTCACCCCATAAAAAAGGCTTTCGCATCCCTATGTTTTTCTTTTGGTTTTCTTATGATTAGTATGTACAAACATGTACTGTACAATGTAGTTAAATGGAGAGTAGTGCTGGGGCGTACCCCGGATTGTCGAAATATCATAATTAGGCTGTAAAACGAGGTAGGAACACCCCAAGAACGAGGTAGGCATTGCACGTAAAGCATTTAGCTATTAAAAATAAGTGCGGCGTTGGAAACGGGGTCAGATCCCCAAAAGTGCTATGGGACTGGGGAACGACAGGAACCCCCTCAATTGCATATGTACCAAATATCTTCCGCCGCTCATATATATATACATATATATATATATACATATATATATATATACATATATATATATACATATATATATATATATGTATATATATATACATATACATACACACATACATATATGTATATAATATCCCATGATTTCCCATGAATTTGGCTGTGATGTTGCCACTGCCTGGAGGTCTAGTCCTGCTTTTGCGGCGCAAAGAAAAGGACTTGAGAAAGTGCCGCTGACGGGATGTCATTCCAGGCTATTGGGGGCTAGGGCAAGGGGGGCAGGCCTGCAAGAAAACATGTTGTTCTACTGGCAATTTGCTTAGGAACTTTGGCAGTTTTTGAGGCCCATGCCGACATTTGGTTGGATCGAATCGAGAGTCTTGTTATGTCTTGTTGATCCAGCTTTTTGTCGGTTTTACAGTAACCCCATTGGTTTGGAACCGCATTTTCCCCATATTTCCACATATTTCCACAAGTTTTCCCAAGTTTTTTTTTCAGATTTCCTGATGATCTCCTGACTGTTGATTGATCCCTGACCCAGGCAGACGACCTGAAAGGAACCGCCGGAGACTGGGACATTTGGCCTTACCTGCAGGCGAGCCAAGCCAAACCGAGCCGATAAGGTTTAATGGGATTTGAATGGGGTTCCAATAGGGTTTGATTACCAGAGGGCAATACATGGGTATGCGTCAAAAGGTTTTAATTCATTTTATTCATGTTCATCATCCATGATTGCGGTGCCTAATTTTGACACATACTCACGTGTTAATATATCATATCATCTTTCTGATTTGATTTTTGCTTGAAAGCATACCTCTGAAATCAGTGGTTGATCATTATCCCCACGACACATGAGCATAATGAGCTAATAGTTCTCCAATAGTTTAAGGGCTAAGCACACTATTTTGAGCAGCCATATGTGTGGACGAGCAAAGCCGGCATGAGCCTCCAGGACCTGTTGATCAAACCAATGATTTTCCAAGTAAAAGTCACGAGTTTAGCTTAGATGATAACATGTGATAACATAACTTAATCCATGTTTATCCCCCATATCCCCATAAAATCTCAAAAATCCTTTGTTCATGGGTATAAATCTTAGATTTTCCATAGCTAGTTGTCATGGTTTCAGATCCTCATGTTTGCATCGCCCCGGAGGCTTATTCGGCCCATGACTCCGGAGAACTAGCCAAAGCCGAAAAATGAACGATGCTGAGCGAATGCAGCGTTTGTCGAGGAGGGGCCCAAGGTATCAGAAAACATTGGCAACAAATTCAAGAACAAATCGCATTTTATGGCTTTATCATGGTCTATCCCATGTTTCATGAATTTCTGGCATGTTCACCATTTTGTTGGGGGCGTTTTTCAACGATGACAAACATCCAAAAATTTCAAATCACCAGAATCCTTGGGTATTGCGGATCATTGATACCCCACCGGGGCTCAAAATATTTCCTTCTGGTATAGCTTGAGTTACAGCCATGAAACCCACATATTGTTGATCCGATGGTGGAAGCCGAATTTCCAGCATGTTGCTCAGAAAAGGGGATGGAACAATCCAGTTGTGGCCAATTTCAAACCCCAATGGGAATTTGGCACAAAGATGGGAATAGGATGGAATAGGTAATGTGTTGTGGCCATAGCTGCAGTTTGTAACATTGACGCCATATTGCAATGTTTATTTTGATTTTTCTATGATTTTCTATGTGTTAATATTATATAAATTATATATATATACACATACTTTGCTCAACATCATTTTTTCATTTTAAAAGGGACAATGATGATGATTAAACCATATTAAACCAAGGTGTTAACAGGGCGACCTGTTTTCAGACTGCTGCCACGTAAGCCATGCCATGGACGTGTTTCAAACTGGGTGACCTTATTTTTTGAAATTCCACATGATTGAGGTCATTGGTGTGCCATTGCAACCAACATCCAATGGTGAAGGCTAGCCTACTTGATTCGACTTGCAAACATGTTGATTGTTTGATGGGTATCGAAGATTAAATGATTAGCTTGGCATGGCGCATTTTCCGGAATATCCAGTGATGTGGACAGACGGCTCACTGAGAAATTGAAGTGTAACAGGGACACATTTAACCACCAAATATAGCTGGATGAATTGCAAAGACCTCACTGTGACATCCCCCTAAATAATGGCTAGTAAGCATATATAGCAAATTACATCCCAAATGATCTTATTTCAAGTTGATTGTTTTCATTCAGCCATAAATAGGCTCTGAGAGATTGTTCTCTGGTGCCCATGCTTGCACAGGCAGCTTTCGTGTCCACGATGCAGCCAACGGTTCGAATCACCTGGTTCACTGTCTCAAAAAAATTGAACCTTGGAAAATTAATGAACACGTTTTTCCATCCTGCACAGCATTGAAATGATGTGAATGAACTCTCAGGTCTGACCGTTGCGCACAACTGCCGCGTACTCGACATTTCGGGTACAGGAACCACTTCCGAGTTTCGTGATTTCCCGTGCCATACCATATCCAACCGTAGTTGCCATGGCCATGGTCCCATGGTCACATGGTTGCCACCACCTTGCCAGGCCTGGGCTCAGCGTTAACAAGTCGTGTGTATACTTGGGAACAAGAAATCCTTCAGACGCGCATCCCACAAGAGGTTATATTAGTTACTATACAGTTTGTACTTTGGACTCAACCCGTTTGTATAGACAGTTTGCTAGTTGAAAACTACTCCAAAACTGGAAACTCAGTTTAAGGAAACAGCTCAGTCATGCAACAAGCATGGACAAGAATATGCGCTTACTCCGCAGGCGTTGTGGTTACAAAAGATGTTTTTATGGTAGCGCGGAGCTTGAGGATCCAGTGTTTCTGGTGAAAGCTCCTGGGTTGTTACTTTCCCAACCTTTGCCGTGGGATTCGAAGCCATAGCCTTACAAAGCCTTACAACTTTCTGGATCTAGGGTTTTAGCTCAGGCATCTGTGGAAAGATGAGTGCTCATGGCAGTCCGACGTCTGCAGATGGGCAAGGAGATTTGACTGGCTCACAGATAGCCTTCAGAATGGTACAAGCGGCTGAAGCTGCTGTGGCGGCTGCAAATGCAGCATCGACAGCAATCAATTCATTGACTTCGAGCTCAACAGGTACTGGTGGTGCAACTGGTACTACAAAAACTGAGTGGTACAAGGTTTTGCCGAAACCTAGCTGTTTTGAACCAAAAGACAGAGAAGCTGAGTTAGCAACTTTTCGCGACTGGTGGTGGCAGGTTGAACAATACATGTTGGCTGTGGATGCCAATTATGGGCATGACTTGCAGACCATCAGGTCAAAGTTGGATGAGGAGATACCGTTGGTGGAGCAAAGCATTGAGCAGACACGTCGCAGTGCATTTTTGTATGGTTTGTTGGCCTCCTTGCTGAAGAACCGTCCCCTTTTACTTCTTAAAGGAATTGAACAAGGGAGTGGACTTGAAGCAGTGCGTCAACTTTTCAGGACGTGCCAGCCGAGCTCCAGAAACAGATCACTTGGGTTGCTTCATTTGATCATGCAATGGCCTAGCTTTGATATGAAAAGTGCAATCTTACCACAAATCTTGAAGTTGGAAGACAGTTTCAGAGAGTACGAGAAGATTGCATCAACTTTGTCGGAAGAGCTGAAATTTGCAGTACTTTTGAAGTGCTTGAGTGGTCATTTGAAGACCTACTTGCAGGTTTCAATGCGGGAAAACATGACCTACGAAGAACTTCGCGGAGCCACGCTTCGCTATGACCAATGCACCATCAAATGGTCACAGTCGATGGCCCTGGGAAGCTCAGTTTCAGCTTCAAATGACACGTCTGGACCCATGGACGTGGACAGAGGTGAAAAAGGAAAGGGAAAGAAAGGAAAATCGAAGTCAAATGGAAAAGGCAAAGACAAAGGCAAGGGCAAACAGAAATCCAAGTCCAATGAGAAGGGATTTCACTCTGGCAAAGGGTATGGAAATCAGCAACAGCAGAGCTCATGGAATTCCAAAGGAAATCCATGGCAGAATTCTTCCTGGAACAGTGGTGGAGACAATTCTGGAAAAGGCGGCAAATCACAGAAAGGTGGAAAATCGAAAGACTCTGGCAAGGGCAAGGACGTGATAGATGTGGTGGACACGGTCATTTTGCTCGTGATTGCAGAGTGCGTGTGGTTGGACAGAGCAATAATGGTGCAACTTCAACAGATGGGAAGTCTGATGGAAATGCAAAGGCCGGTGCAAACAATGCGCAGGTCAACCGAGTCAGTTTTGCACCAGAAGTTTCTTCGTCTTCGACATATCGACAGCTGGATTTTGACATTTCTGGCATGAGTGATTTGCAAAGTTTTTCTGGTTTTCATGTGAACATGGTTTCAAACCTTATTCAAACAACAACCAAAACAACTGTTTCAGATGAAATTTCGAAAGTTTGCGGCGGTGATCAACAGTCTTTCAGTGCGTGTGGCGATGAGTTTCATGGTTTTCAGAAGCATGTTTGCGGTGTGAATGAATTTTCAAAGCGTTGTGCAAGTGACAGCAGTGCAGAAACGTTTGACTTGCAGAAACTTTTTCGACTTGACGACATGGAGCACTTCAACAAACGGGTTTGGGATGAGTTTCAACTTGATTTGTATGAGGTTGCAGATTCAAACAGTTGTCACAGAAGTTTCATGCGTCTTGGTGATGTTTCTGTTTTGCACAGGTTTGGGACACTTGCAGAGCGTTACAACCCCTGGCAGACCCATTTGCAGTGCAAAGAGCTGGAAGCCCTGTCAAACAGAGTTGCAAAGGATTGGAACGTTGGCAGATGGTTGCAATTCACTTGAATGTCAGTTGAATGTGCGTGCAGTGTCATTTTGCAAACATGTGGATATCATACTTGATTCAGGTTCAGATGTGACACTAACTGCACATGGCAGGGATTGGTACGAAAGCTCAGGCCTGTCCAGGCACTTACTTGCGTGATGCTCAGGGCAAGGAAATTGCCACCAGTGACATCAGAGATGTGAGTTTTGCATTTGAAACGTTGGATGGAGACCAGGTCACAATCAAGGAACGTGCTTTCTTCAGTGACAGAGTTGACAGTCCTTTGATTTCATTTGGCAAGTTGTTGAAAACTGGATGGAGCATTGAAAGCTCAGACATGTCAGGACCTCCATTGCTTTCACATAGAAATGGTGCCAAAGTTGAACTTGCGTTCAGGAACAGCATCGATACATGCTATGTGAGAAGCACGAAGCTTCAGACGAGGAGCTGTGGCAGCAGCTCTATGATGCGCGAATGGCGGAAATTCAAAGTGAGGAGCACTTGGAAGCCCCTGCAATCGATTTTCGCTTCTACATGGAACAAGAAGGTGAAAATGAGAGAAATGAGCCTCATTACTGAGGATGCTGAAAGATTTCAAAAGCTATGCAAGGAGCTAACGCGATCTCCTTGATGGCGTTTCACTGGAATGGTCGAATACAGACCACAAAAGAAACTACAAGCTGTTGGTAACAATGGCAAATCCAAGGCCCAAAGCGTTGGGACATAGAAGGTGTCCTCTTGGATTTGAATGGTTGAAACTAGGTTGTTTGTTTCCATAGGAATAGACTCTAGTTTTGGGTCAGTGAGTAAATCTACTCATAACCCAAAGGCGGGGTATAGAGTTTTGTACTTTGGACTCAACCCGTTTGTATAGACAGTTTGCTAGTTGAAAACTACTCCAAAACTGGAAACTCAGTTTAAGGAAACAGCTCAGTCATGCAACAAGCATGGACAAGAATATGCGCTTACCCCGCAGGCGTTGTGGTTACAAAAGATGTTTTTAGTTACGTATATATACTTGTACGTATATCAGGTATATGAAAAAGTGAATGTTCGTATGTGGCAGAGAATTCTTTATGTGTTTTATCGCATTCCGCAAAAGGCTTATAAGATGGTCATGGACCACATACCCACTGTGTTTCTTTATCCAGCATAACATGGTTTTGCCCACGAAAAGGGAACCCCATACATCATATATCCCATGATTATCATCATTTTCTCAATCGCATGGAGAAAAGCAATGGGGTGTGCCATCCATTCTTGGCCGAAGATGATATTGTTGGTTATGTACCGTTTAAATTTATATATATATATATACATACATGTCAAAATCATCCACATTTAGTATTGCTAATGCTTTACTGTATATCTGTATACATATGTATCCCATGATCAATGGTGAGGTTTTGGGGGCATCTCCCGTTTTTGGGACCCAAATAATGTTGGGCTTAGAAGAACGATTACGAGTAAAATGCCTCCTCACGTAGTGCAGTGTAGTGCAATGTAGTGTCACCAACAAATGCTTCCATGCATTCAATGTAGACTGGAATTCATAACCAATGCATGAGGTCATGTTAATACACATGAACCCTGGAATCCAGTTTTGCTCGCACTGACATAATAGTATGTCCACTTGTTTTAACTAATAATTAGTTCACATGCCAAACTTCCAGCAGGTCCGGGTCTACAAAATGTATACCACGGCCAATTGCTTGGCTCAAGACATTCCGTCGCACGAAAACGGCTGCTGACTGCAGCTTGAAGTGTGGTTGGGCCACCAGGTCCACATGATCTTTTGGTTATCAGCCGTCGGGCTGTCGCAATAGCTTCTGACAGGCGTTGCATCGACCAGGAGTACTTTGACTAGTTTGTTGAACCGGATCGCAAGTCTCAGATCCCAGACGTCTTGTGGAGATCTATCAGGGCGCCAAGGGGAGGACGAAGAGGTCTTGCAACAAAGGTTCGGCACATCAAAGAGGGAATCACTCAGGGGTACTATCAAGGGAATTACCCGTTCATAACTCGAGACGGATTTGAAGACGCAAAGCAGTGGAAATTTCAGATCAGTAACTCGGTGTTACAAGGGGCTACAGTTTGGTAAATCGAGACTTCTTCAAGTGAGGAGGGGGTTCAGATCTTGGAAAGGCCAGCAGCAAAAGCTCGCCCAGCTCCGAAAGTATCAGAACCATTCGATCACTCAGCAAGCTCCACTCAAAAGTCGTCATCATCATCTGTTGTGCTTGAAGCAAAACCTTGTCCATCTAGCGAATCGCGAGTGCCAAAGGCAAAATCTCGACCATCTAATGGATCACAACAGTTAGGAGCACGTGCAAAGCCAGCTGCGAAGGCCAACGAGAGAATCTTGAGGCCTCGACTATATCTTCCGGACACGGTGGTTTGGTTCGATCGCGGCAACAAGGCTGAGGACATTGGCTCTGGCCCGGAACCTGTTGGGGTGAATTTCAGAGAGGTTTCATTCTACAGTTCATATCGTGGCTACAAAACATACGTCAAAGCAAGATCTCCGGAATATCCAAAATTCATTCTTTCTCTTGGCTGGCACCAAGTGTTGGATCGATCGAGGACGGAAGGAACTTGGAACGATACATTTCCGCAGGATTCCATTGTGTTTTTGCAACGCCTGAAAACAGGCAGCAGAGCAGACGTGGGGTCATCGAGAAGCTTTGTCGATTGTGATTGTCTTTCACAATGAGAGTTCAAGCAAAAATCTGGACAACCTACTTCGGGTTTGCAATTCGTATCGACAGATTGCAGAGGAAGGTCTCATGACTACGATTTTTGTAACCAGGGAACGCTGCGGTATTGTTGGGAAGGCGGCTACAATCAAAAGCTATACTCTTGACTACGAAATGCCCTGCGCTTTGGCAGACGATAATCACGAAGTGATTCGAGAAAACCCCGAAGAAGTCCATACGTGCCATATCCATATCAGACGCAAGCCAAAGTGCCCAGAAGCTGAGGTTGTGCAACACTATCTCCTAGATTGCGCAGCTCCTCTGGAGAGGTTGTTCTGGCGATACCGGCACCGGTAAGTGAAAAAGGGGTGAGAAGCGCCTGCGCTCCATCCAGGGGTCAAAGATCTTGGGGGGAAGAGTGACAGGACAGTGCTTGCGCTCCTTCCGGGAGTCAAAGATTTTCGGGGGAAGAGTGTTAGTGTTCCCGTAATCCCAACATCACCATGCAGAAATCTCAAGAGGGAAGTTCTGATAGGTCAAGATCCCAAAGGGGTTTTGAAGTGGGTGCGGCGCAATCCATTGCCAATCCCGTCACACCATCACAATCGATGACAGCCTCAAGTTCAACATCGCAATCAACTCCGGAGCCCCGAGGGAGTAAGGATCGTAGGATAGCCATTCCGGAACATCGGATTGCTGTTCAAGCCGTGGAGGAAGCTAGGGAAACCCAAGCCATCCAGGGTGATCACCAACCAAGCCCAGAAACTTTGTCTCAGTTTTTGGGATCTCCCCAGTCTTCGCCGTTGATTGCACCAAATATGAATGCTGTTCAGCTAGAAGCACAAGATCATGTTCATTCGAATCCATTTCATGGCCAATATGAATCCACCAGGTCGGGTCAGCAGGGGGTCAGTTCCAGCCAGGGTCAACCCCAGGGTCCAACGTTCGTCAAAATGAGTTGAATGTTTCAATGGATCTGTTTGTTGTTGCACAAGCCGCACATGCTGTGGAGGAAGCTAGGAGTAATTTTAAATCCCAAGCCATCCATGCTGTAGAAGAATCTAAAAGAATCTTCCAGGCACAAGCAACTCAAATGGTTGAGGATATCCAGACTTCCACTAGGACAGAAGCCATGCAGTACTTAGAACATTTGCAATCTCAAGCCCAAGAGCAATTTCGGAATCCCATGCGCAGTCCATTCAACTTCAAAAAGAATTGGGGGATTCAAGGGTACCTAGGTTGTCCAAGAAGCTTCGAAAGAGATTGAGGATGTCAAGTCAGAAGCTAGGGCTGAGATCCAAAGGGTTAAGGTTGAAGCTCAGTCCATGGTGTCGGGTTTGGAAGGTAGAATCTCTGAACTGATTCGTATCAATGGGGAGTTATCCATGAAATCGGGTGAACAAATCAAGTTGATCACTGCTTTGACCCAAAGGGTTGATGAGCAGCAGTCGTTGTTAAGCAAGTTGCAAAGTATCTTAGCTATGAGCGCAACATCTAGAGCCCTGATGGTACGGATGTTCAATTGCCATTGCAATCGCCAGTCGCTTCAGGAATCGGACAGTTAAGATCTGGTCGGGACTCAGAGGTTGCAAGCCCAGTGCAAAACCCACAAGTTCAGCTGTTTGCCGTGCCTTCGCAACATGGGGATGGTCCAAAGGATACCCAGCTCAAAGAGTTGTTTGCAAAAGTTGAGTCATTGGCATCCGTTGTTCACAGTTTTGCATCCAATCAAGGGTGTGGTAGAAAGTCAAGAGGGAATGGTTCCAATACAGGGTCACCCAATGCTCAAGGAGTTTGATTTAGCTACCCCTCCAAGATCACCACCTGGTTCATCATCTTCGTCGTCTAGCAGTAAGGGAAGCGGGAGAGGTGGAAGTGGTCCACCTACTCCACCAAGGGGGTCGAATGCATCAAGGGCATCCAGCTCAAGCGATCAGAATCGTGTTGTTGACCCATACAAGTATGAAAAGAAAATCATGCGGGTTAAGCAGTTTGACCATCTGAAGATCCCCAATCTTCCTGAATCAGCATCGGATGCGAGGGCGTTTAGAAACTCGGTGTTCAATTTAGTTTGCAAGCTGGCTAAGGGTGATGAAGAACCTGTTCTCAAATGGATTGAAAAGTGTGTTGACCCAAAAGCGTTTGAATCCCTGAATGATTCATTGCCGTTTCCACTCTTGGATCGTGTCTTGGGCAGTAAACTGCTGGAGCTTAGTAAAAATATTCGCTTCGCTATGCATTTTCAGACCATGCAAGAGGCATACCAAAGGAAACATAGGTAGCCCAAAGGCAGGCAGTTGCTTTGGATCATTTTTGAGAAGAATAAGATGGAAAGAGATCGCGGCGTAGCCCTTACTCAGAGTCATCTTCTCAATTTGAAAATGCAGGGTTCAGACATCAAAGCGCTCGAGGGTTTCCGTAACAAGTTTGACTTCATGTGGCAAGCCTTGGAGGTCAGTGATCGGCCTTCAGATTCGTCACTTAGGAGCCTCTTGTTTGAGCAATTGAAATCTCACCCCAAATTGCAGTTGGCCATCGGTAGATTTAGAAATCCCATCAGGGACACCATCAAAGCGCAGCTGCCTTTGGTTGTATGACAAACTCGTAGAAGCCGTTGAGATCCACCAGCTGGAGGAAAACACAGCTAGCATTGAGAAGTCCTTGGCAAACATTGCATCATCCAGCAAGGATGCAAATGCAGCACCTTCAAAGCCTCTCAAAGAGAAGCAAAAGGGTGATCAAAATAAAGACAAACAAAAGGTGCACCTGAAAGGATCCAGTTTGCCACTGGGGGGGAGTTAAGCCAAGTTCCAAAGCCTTAAACCTCCAAGGGTCACTGTCAGGTAATAACACGTTTTATACGTTAAAGGACTGTCCACATGCTCTTCCCGTAGGGATTCAGGTGAATGAACACCAAAGACCGTTTATATGGTTTCCACAAATCAGTTGCCTTATTTGGTAGAAGCCGATCGAGCGCAGAACATTGTCCATCACGTGCCAGAGTCAGCCAAAATTTACGCTGATAGGGTTCAAGAAAATGTTCCAATAATCTCTGAGTCTGTATCTCTGCTGGTGGCAGCAGCTCTTCTAGGGAATTGCCTGTTGATGCTCCAGTCCCATTGCCCGGTCCACCAAGGCGAGAATCGCTTGAGGACGAGCCAATGAGAAGACCTCATGGTCTTCCGAGGTCAGGGGAACCTTTGGTGTTGAGGGAGGCAGATGTGCCACACTTTGGGGCGGGAAAGATGACATAATCTTGGCACAAGAACTAGAAGAAGCTGATAAGGCATTAGATTCAGAGGATGATGAACTCAATCCTTGGAGGCGCTGTCGGTACGGGACAAGTTGCAAGCCGAATCCAAAACTCTCAAACATGCCTTAACCCATTTCCCCAAAAATAGATACTGTGAAGTATGCCCTCGGGCCGAAATGGCAGCTAGGTACCATAGAAAAAGAGACCTTGAGGTTGACCCCGAAGAGGCTCCACCACTTCATTACGGCCACCAGCTTCGAGCAGACCACATAATCTTAGGGGAAGACCTACCCAAAGGTTCGGAGGGTGAAAGGGCTTGTCTTGTTTGTTATGATGGGTACAGTGGGGCTTTGCAAGCCTTTCCTCAAACATATAGGACCACTGATGCCAACATCTCGGCACTGCAGAAGTTCGGCGGGACCAGAGCGCATGGCAAAGCCTTGTGCAATGTCAAAACTGACAGTGCAACAGAACTGGCCGAAGCGGTAAAATATTTGAGATGGTTGCCTGATCCTGGAATTCCCAATGATGACTACCATAATGCCAAACTAGAACGCATCATTAGATCAATAAAAGAAGGTGTGAGGTCAATCCACCTAAAGGCAGGTTTTACTCATGACTTGTGGCCCAGAAGTGTCGAGTACTTCTGTGTAGCACGTGGCTTTAGCACTCTTGCGCCAATACACCCAAATGAAAGGGATGAGGTCAAGACGGAAAAGTCCATGCTTACATGCTATGAAGCTGCAAATGGCGGTTCGCCGTTCACAGTGAGTTCTTGGTGTTGGGAGTGAGTCGGTGTTGGAAGTGAGTTGATTTTTGGTGTTGGAAGTGAGTTGTTAACCTCTGCCTGAGAATTCCGTTAGGAGCCTTGGTCTATTACAAACCCCCAAAACACAGAGAAATACCAGCTTTTAGTGCAAGCATGCCAAGCCAACATAGCCAGATCCGATGGAACCTCCAAAAGGTTCGCCAAAAAGAGTGATCATTTCTTAGCTAGTGCAAGCTTGGATCATCCGAACTTCTGAAGACTCCGCACCCGGCAAAGCCAACGACGAAAGAAACACCGATCACATCCGGTTGACTGAAAAGTCCTCGGACATGGCCAATGATGAAGAAGTACGAGACTTGCTGAAAGTCATGAAATTATTCCCAGGAGCAGACCTTTGGGGTTCAATTCCTTGCGGCCCGTGGTCCCGTTGGCAGGACGGCTAGGGGTGGTAAGGGGTATGCAAAGAGGCTCAAAGCTGCACGCAAAAAGTCCATAAAGATGTTGAACAACTACATACGCTGCGCAGAGCAGGTGTTGCAATTGAGTGGCCCAGAGATTGCTCTGGCTGGTCAATTCCAGAGCTTGTGAAGTTCATCAAAAAGCATGATTTGTTTGTAGCCGAGCCAGACGGATGTGCGTTCGGTTTAAGGGATGATGAGGGAAACCCCCATTGTAAACCTTGGAGGATTGTAACAAGTTCGTATCAGTTGGCAAGAAACCTTGATGCGCACAAATGCAGCCATCCGCCGGATTTCAACATTCGCACCTGGCAGGTTCCAAACCCCCTAAGTCTGCTTCCTATACTGATGAAATGGCACAATACATTAGTCACTCCTTGTACCCCGAGGTAGTACTTTCTATGCCTGTTAAACCCATGCAGCCAGAACCACATCACCAACCGACAGCCGTTGAAGTTGATGCAGGTATCCACGTCCTGATTGACAGGAAGGACTGGCACAAGCATGAAGGTTATCTTGATGCAATCAAGAAAGAACGGGATGGTGTCTTGGAAAATGGTACTTGGAATTATGATGAAGTAGTGCCTAGAGACGAGCTCATGAAACGCAAAGAGCATATCAACATAGGTAGAGTCATGACAGTACTTTCTGTGAAACATTGGGAAGCACCAGCTCTTAGAAAGCTTAAAGCCCGAATAGTGTTTAGAGGGAATGAAATTTTGCGGTTTTGTTGGATTCACATCAAAATGACCCAATGCGAACAAAAGTACCAACTTGGGTCGAGCTGAGTCCTGAACTGGTTCCTGATGAGTTCAAACATATCAAGCGACCATGTGTCCGATTTTGGCGGTCCTTATACGGCCACCCAGAAGCTGGGCATCGTTGGGATATGAGATCCAGAGAGGTCATGACATGTTTTGATGCAAAACCTATCGATACCTTCCAAAGTAACTTCTGGATCCCAAAATATAAACTTTTGTTGAGTCTATACGTAGATGATGTAGTGGTATCTGGACCCTCATCACAACATAAGCCCTTTTGGGATGAGATGCAACGCCACTTGGAGCTGGATGAGCCAGCTGAAGTCAGCCGAATTCTCGGCCGAGAGCACAGCATCCCAAGAAGCAAGGAGGGAACAACTTGTGCCTTTGAAATGTGTGAACTGTGTGAGGCGCTTAGCAGCCGAAAGCTAAAGCCTGCAGCATCACCTTATGTCAATGATGGGAGTTTAAGTGATTCCGATTGGGATGTAAAGGGTTCATTGTCAGCAGAAGCATCTCGCGCACTCATGAAAGTATTGTGGTGTGCCAGATTGGCAAGACCTGATCTCAGTAAAGCTATCTCAGATCTTACACGTAGACTTACGTGCTGGAGTGTCGCAGACGATAAGCGCCTTCATAGATTAATGAGTTACCTTTATGGATCTAGAAAGTTCACTTTCAAAGGTTACATAGGGGACCCACCAGAGTTGTTGTGTTTGTGTTGTTACACTGATGCCGATCACTGTTCTGCACAAGATGATATACCAAATCCACAAGCGCTATGATCATGACGTTGGAAGGTCCGCATTCATGGTGGCCACTCTCATGGGCAAGCCGCAGGCAGACGTCAACTGCACGCAGCACGACAGAGGCCGAAATGGTGTCGTTGGGTGCAGGTCTATTTCTTGAAGCACTGCCAATGCACGAGCTCTTAGAGACAGTTTTTGGTAGGCAGGTTGAACTTGTGTGTTACCAAGATAACCCCGCAGTTATCCAAATTGTTGCTGCCGGGTATAGTCTCAAACTCCGACACCTCAACAAAACTTTCCGCATAAATATAGGTTCAATCTATGAAGTCTTCAAGGAGAATGATGATTGCCTGTTGCTCTACATCAAAACTGCAATGTAGAGAGCTGATCCGTTTACCAAGCCACTCCCTGTGGCAAAGTGGCCGGAAGCTTTGCAACAACTAAATGATAAGGTATCCACGTAGTCCATAATCATCTTCCCATAGGTTGCCTTACGTACAACCAGTCAGTCTTGTCTGTCTGGGTGCAAGGGTGAGATGTTTTGATCTGCCATCTACAGAACCATTGGAAACGAGTTGCACTTGTTCACCGTGACCATTGGTAACTGTGGTAGCCAGGTCATCACACCATCCAAGTGTCCAACGCCAAAAGGGGGAGAAGGAAAATTACGAGTAAAATGCAATGTAGTGTCACCAACAAATGCTTCCATGCATTCAATGTAGACTGGAATTCATAACCAATGCATGAGGTCATGTTAATACACATGAACCCTGGAATCAGTTTGCTCGCACTGACATAATAGTATGTCCACTTGTTTTAACTAATTAGTTCACATGCCAAACTTCCAGCAGGTCCGGGTCTACAAAATGTATACCACGGCCAATTGTTTGGCTCAAGACATTCCGTCGCACGAAAAGGGCTGCTGACAGCTTGAAGTGTGGTTGGGCCATCAGATCCACGTGATCTTTTGGCTTTTCCAATAGAATTATGCCAGTGAAAAGGGCCCCGAGCTTGAGTTGCTAGCTGCTAGCTATGGCGAGAATTCTCGAGATTGAAGCAGTGAATGTTGGGATGAAAAATAATGAAACCATGAAGACTGCAAGAAACACGGATTCCACCAACATTTGAAGCAAACCCACAGCCGAACATTTCCCATAAAATTCACCACTGCCGACTGCTGCCAGGTCGATTGGCGAGACTTCAGTCGCACCACAAAATTTTGTGCCAGAAAGGCGGAAAGATGGGGAGATTCGCGAAGAAATGAGGGCAATCAAACATCACACGGTGAAATCACTGGTTGTTACATCTTTTTCTCAATTTTACGAGGCATTAACCACAAAAATGGCCACATCTAGCCACATCTATATCCTGTGTATTGTCTATGTATGTATGTCTTCGTTGTTACTGGATGGATTTTAAGGATGTCACGACGATGTCGCCATAAATGATTGTTGGTAAGGGGAACCCCAAGAATGAGGTTCCAGTATGACATGATTTATGTCATGCCTGTTGGTATATTGCTAAAATTAGTAGTGTATATACATATAATATATATGATAATATGTATACTTGATATCATTCTTGCATTACATATACATATGTATGCATAGACCCCATGATAACACCTACATGCACTATCACATTTAAACCTGGATCAATCTAGGCATGGATGCAAGAAAACATGACATGTCGCATGAATTTTGCCAGAGCAATTGCCAGCTTACATGCCAGTATATGTCAGACTACAGGTCAGAGGAATCAGTACAAGAATAAGATCTCAGAACATATTATGCCAGGAGAAATGTCCGACATATGTCGGAAAATCAGGATGTTTGCATGTCCGCATTCTTGTCAGAAGAACTTTACTGCGGTCGGGGTCACACGAAGTAAAGTACTTGGGATACAATGCTTACAACTCTTCAATGGGAGTCAAGCATGCTGCTTTCCTAGGAACAGTTCTCTGTGAATATGAGTTGAGCGCTCAGTAGAGGACTTTGTTCCAAGATTGCAAGTTTCAGAGACACATTGTCATGAATTAGACTGACAGTGGACAGGCTTAGCCACATGACACGGCCGACAGTGTTGAGGTTCAAAGATGGGCTGTATTTCTTCGAAACATAGCAATTGCTTTGAATCAAAGTGTCCTGGAGAGTAGATGGAAGGTAATGTGTGCAGTCAGTTTGACACTGCTCAATTGAAACCAAAGCATTTCTGTGCCGGAAATCGTGCATCAGGACTCAGTCCCTGTTTTAAACGTCAAGAAATATGATTTGAGGAGGGACTAGCTGACTAGCCTTGACGCTTCGCATCGAGAGAAACCGTTTAAATTTTAAGGCATGTGTTCCCCGCAGCTAAATGTGCAAATCCATTCCCTTGGCTGAAGCAACGCTGCTGTTGCAATGCGCGCACTGGAAATTTCCGTGGAGTGACCATTTTGTATTTTGCGCGAAGTTCTTCTGCGGGTGCAAAGAAATGATTTCTGGAGTCTTCAAGCCAAATCCAAAACCGTTCCCTGTTGGCAAGGCTTGAGGTGGCGCAAGGGTGCAAGGATCCACAAAACAAAGTTGGCGATTTACAAAGAGTGTGCCGCGGGAACCTGTTCGCAGTGAAATGCGAAAGCCTCTGGAGTAGAAAGAGCAGATGGAAAGCAGGGGTGCTGTGCAACCAGTGTGACACTGAGTAATTCCATGTAATTCCAAGAGGTTGTGTCTCAGGCTACAGGCCCAAAATGCATTGGGATTCCGTCCCCTGAGCATGGTACTTGTTTTTTCGCGTTAGCATCTTCCCAGCAAATCGCGCGGAGAAAAGGGGTGGCCGCTACGGGGTGAAACTGAAAACGGTTTTCTGTTTCGGTTTGGATCTAGGATGATTGGTTCAGGTTTTGAGCACCTTTTGCAGTTCCTTTAGAGTCACCATGACTCACCCATTTTTTTAAATGTCAAACTTTTTTAAATGTTCCAATTTTTTTCGGGGATTCCGAAAGCAAACTACGGTAAAATCTTGTTGCAAAGACATCAAGAGAATTGAAGAACTATTTCACCCCCCAGGCATCCAAAGCACCTGAACATAAACTGTAACATTCGGACCATGCATATTCCCCACATTGGACGAAATTTAGTGCAGCAGCCATTGATTCTTTGCAGTGCGCTGATATTTCCCCAATTGAAGTTAAACATCATTTTCAGATAGTATTTCAGAGCGTTCACCTTGAATTCTGAGGATCTTAAAGCAACCATTTTGTTCCCCAAACACTGTGTCCACACAGAAGGGTTCTTACGGTAGGGCTTAAGGCCGGGGTTAGATCAGGGTACGCTCTCTAGCCCCGTCATTTTTCAATGTGAATTTCGACTGTGCAGGCTGGCACAAAGTCTGCGTAGCGACTTCTCCTCTTGCATAAAAAGGCTCTTGTGAGATGTCCATGTGTATTTCGAGTGCGCAGGCTGGCGCAACACGGGGGTTCTTGGGGCGCGGCATTTTTCCTGTAATTGGTCTTGTGGCATGTCCATGCGCATTTCGATTGCACAGGTTCGCACAAAATGGTCCTGTTCTTGGGGCGCGACCTTTTCCTGCAAAATCTCGTATAAAATTGCTCTTGTTACACGTCCATGTGCATTTCGACTGCGCAGGCTCGCACGAAGTCTGCACTCTCAAGCTCTGTGTCTGCGGCATTTTCGCTGTAAATTCTCGCATGAACGGGCTCTTGCCTGCAAAATTCCTCTCTAGGAGGTCCTTGCATGATCAGTACAGGTCCTTAACAGAAGGTCTTGTGGAGATCCTGCTGAGATCCTCTCTAAGATGTCCTTGCATGAAGATCTTGCAGATGCCATGTCTTACAGGTGGCTCCGCTCCAGCAGCAGATTCTTTTATGATGATTTTGTGAGCTTCTCTTAGGGGTCCTGGCATGAAGATCTTGGTCAATGTCTTTCACAAGTCCTTGTGAGAAACTCTTGAGATCCTGGTGACATGCTGTCAGGGCCTTTGCGTGACTTTGTACAGGTCCTGGGGAGAAGCTCTTGAAGAGGTCCTGGTGCAATCCTCTTGGTCTTCTATGATCTCGTACTGGTCCTTGTGCGAAAATCTTGAGGAGATCCTGTTGACATCCTCCTCAGAAGGTCCGTGCATTAAGATCTTGAAGATCCTCTGCGGGAGGTTCTTGTATGAAGATCTTGTCAGCTCCTTTATATGATCTATGTAGAAGGTCCTGCTGCTGCAGTTGCGATCATGCCTAACCTCATCTGTTACTGTTCCATGCCTACTGTTGCTTGTATCTGGTACATTTACTTCCTACCCCCCACACTGTTTGGCGTCTCCTGCCGGTGTGTTTTTTTTTGGTTCGTTTGTTTGGAGTTTGAGGAAGGTGTGCAGAGTTCAGAGCATAGCAGTCCTGGTTGTGACATCCGCATGGAGGTTTATGGCTTTGGGATTACCACAGCACAGCACCCCAAATTAAATTCGCCATTGGGTCCCAACCCATTGCGGCTTGAGGTTGGCATTGGGAAACACGCGGCGGATTGGGCAGCTTGTAGTCTTGTAGTTTTGCATTTTCCTTCATTGTTTCGCAGGTCTTCGGTTCAAGTTGCGTTGCCGCTTTTCTGCATGTAGCAGATCATGGCGATGACGCGGCTTCAAATATTGAGCTGCTTGCCTTATGCTGGGTGACCACCCAAATCCTAGAGAGTTCGTTGTCTTTAGCATTTGCTTGCAGGATGCAGGCCGAAGAAATCGTTGCCGTGCCCAGTCCTGGTGGAAATCGCGTGGGCCAGACCTAGGCCCTTGAAAGGCAGAACCATGGATCATCGCGACTGTGCCGTGGGCCAAAAGACGCATCAAAGAGAGATGTGTTTCTGCACTGCGCCACGGATTGAAAAACTGTTTGTGCTACCGGAGATATAGGAACTGCCACCTTACAACGTCCAATGAGATTGCCATACATGCCGCAAACATTCCGATCCCCAAAGAAAGCAGGCGCCGTGGCCAGCTCCTTTTTCTTCGACGCTCGGTTGCCGGAACCACATCCTGCAGGCAAAATTGTCACCGCGCCTGAAGACTTGAGATACATTTCGAGCTGCGGAAGAGCCCAAAAGGCATGGTGCACCAGCTCAATCCTACAGCCCAAGGCCTGTGTCCCACTGAAGTCCAAGGACTTGTGAGGATTGCAGTGCCTGCTTTGGCACCGGGTTGCTGCTTTGAATCAAAGTGCCCAGTAGATTGAAAGCAGAGGTGCTGTGCAGTCAGTTTGACATTGCTTAATTCTAAGCGCCTCAGCCGAGGCAGTTTCTGAGCGTGGCTTAGGATTCAGTTCGCGTCTTTGATTTGGTGCACGACGAGAAATGCAAAGAATAATTTCGGGAAGACAGGACTAGCCGCGATGCTTCCAACCTGTGTTGCAACATGACATCACGCGAAACTGTTCAAACAGTAAGCGCTTTTTTGCTGCTTGCAAATGGGCGCATGAACGAATCCATTCCTTTGGCTGAATCAAAGCGGCTCTTAGAAATGCGCGCAGCGAAAATTCAAGTGCTGGAACAAGGTGATACAAGGTGTAGTAATTTGAGTTTAAGTTTTAGGCGTTCCCATGCGTTCCCTTTCCCAGTCTGAAGAATTGGATTCTGCACTCAGCTGGCAGAAGCTTGCGATGGAAAAGTCTTGAGATGCCGCAGACTGTGCGCATGCTGCAAACAGATGTGGGCAGTTTGAATTACGAGATCGCGTGCTTGTAGATGAGTCATAGTGTTGTTTTGCAGTTTCAGACCCAGGGTCTTAAAAGGAGGATCATTTCTTGAAACAGCGCTGCTTTGAGTTGTACGGGAGGAAGTGCAGAAATGAGGCTGAGTCTGCGCATTCAATCGGCCACCTGCATTGTTGCGGCGCCTTGCGCTTGGGGGGGTGGCTGACAAGTCTGACACTTTTGCAGATTCTGTGACTAACCCAATGAAACCCAATAGCTCTGAATTTACTGGCAAGTCTGGGATTGGGTCGAAGTGAAATCGGACAGTCTCCCGGAGGAGAGGTGCTGTTCAACTTCCTATATTCTGCTTGATTCCAAGGGCTTGTGTCTCAGCCAATTTTTGAGCGGGAAGCCTTGACTCAGGGCCCACGCAAGTCGTGTTTAAGCTGCCAGACAAAAGGTTGCAGTTCAAGAAGGAAGTGTTTCATGAGGGCGCGAGTGGCCACGCCTTGGCCTGCCTTGTGACGTGTTGCAGAAAAAGTTTTGTAGTTGATTGTATTGTGGGCGAAGCTCCCTTACAACGGGCTGTAAACGCATGACATGTGAGTCTGTCTAGCCTGGAACCATGGCTGGCTAGTATAGTATCAACTTATCAACTGGGGTTCTCACTTGTTCCTTAGCGTGACGTTTTGAGATGCCTTGGGGAACAGAGAGTTTCGACAGATTTGTAGATATGATTGCAGCAAGGCTCCGCAGATAGGCGTGAGGTGGCGCAAGGGAGCGAAGATTGATGTGGCAAGGCTTGGGAAGGACCAGCACAAGGCCCAGAGGCTTCTGAAGTTTCGGAAGTGTAGACATGAGGCTGAGTTCGCAATTCAATCGGCCACCTTCACGTCTCGAGATGCACTTGGGGGGTGATTGACAAGGCTGAAACCTTCGCAGATTCTGTGACACTGTGACAAACCAAATCATGCTGAAGATCGCAATCAGCTGTGAATTTGCTGGCAAGTGCAGGATTGGGTCGAAGTGAAATCGGACAGTCTCCCGGAAAGCAGATGGAAAGGAGAGGTGCTGTTCAACTTCCTATATTCTGCTTGATTCCAAGGGCTTGTGTCTCAGCCAATTTTTGAGTGGGAAGCCTTGACTCAGGGCCCACGCAAGTCGCGTTTAAGCTTCCAGAGAATTGGCGCAGTTGATCGAGTGTTCGATCAGGGCGCGACTGGCCGTAGCCTTGACACTCTTGCAGCCTGCCTTGCGACGTGTTGCAGAAAAAGTTTTGTAGTTGATTGTATGGTGGCACAAGGGAGCAAAGATTGATGTGGCAAGGCTTAGGAAAGACCAACAAAAGGCTCAGAGTCTTCTGAAGTGAGGAAGTGCAGAAATGAGGCTGAGTCTGCGCATTCAATCGGCCACCTGCATTTGTCGCGGCACCTAAAGTCTTGAGATGGGGGGTGGCTGACAAGTCTGACACTTTTGCAGATTCTGTGACCAACCCAATGAAACCCAATAGCTTTGAATTTGCTGGCAAGTCTGGGATTGGGTCGAAGTGAAATCGGACAGTCTCCTGGAAAGCAGGTGGAAAGGAGAATTGCTGTGCAAGGGCTTGCGTCTCAGCCAATTTCTGAGCGGGAAGCCTTGACTCAGGCCCAGCACAAGTCGTGTTTAAGCTGCCAGACAAAAGGTTGCAGTTGAAGAAGGAAGTGTTTGATGAGGGCGCGAGTGGCCACGCCTTGGCCTGCCTTGTGACGTGTTGCAGAAAAAGTTTTGTAGTTGATTGTACTGTGGGCGAAGCTCCCTTACAACGGGCTGTAAACGCATGACATGTGAGTCTGTCTAGCCTGGAACCATGGCAGGCTAGTATAGTATCAACTTATCAACTGGGGTTCTCACTTGTTCCTTAGCGTGACGTTTTGAGATGCCTTGGGGAACAGAGAGTTTCGACAGATTTGTAGATATGATTGCAGCAAGGCTCCGCAGATAGGCGTGAGGTGGCGCAAGGGAGCGAAGATTGATGTGGCAAGGCTTGGGAAGGACCAGCACAAGGCCCAGAGGCTTCTGAAGTTTCGGAAGTGTAGACATGAGGCTGAGTTCGCAATTCAATCGGCCACCTTCACGTCTCGAGATGCACTTGGGGGGTGACTGACAAGGCTGAAACCTTTGCAGATTCTGTGACACTGTGACAAACCAAATCATGCTGAAGATCGCAATCAGCTGTGAACTTTCTGGCAAGTCTAGGATTTGCTCGCAGTGAAATCGGACAGTCTCGCGGAAAGCAGATGGAAAGGAGAGGTGCTGTTCAACTTCCTATATTCTGCTTGATTCCAAGGGCTTGTGTCTCAGCCAATGTTTGAGCGAGAAACCTTGACTCAGGGCCCACGCAAGTCGTGTTTAAGCTGCCAGACAAAAGGTTGCAGTTCAAGAAGGAAGTGTTTGATGAGGGCGCGAGTGGCCACGCCTTGGCCTGCCTTGTGACGTGTTGCAGAAAAAGTTTTGTAGTTGATTGTACTGTGGGCGAAGCTCCCTTACAACGGGCTGTAAACGCATGACATGTGAGTCTGTCTAGCCTGGAACCATGGCAGGCTAGTATAGTATCAACTTATCAACTGGGGTTCTCACTTGTTCCTTAGCGTGACGTTTTGAGATGCCTTGGGGAACAGAGAGTTTCGACAGATTTGTAGATATGATTGCAGCAAGGCTCTGCAGATAGGCGTGAGGTGGCGCAAGGGAGCGAAGATGGATGTGGCAAGGCTTAGGAAAGACCAACAAAAGGCTTGTGAAGTCTTGAGATGCCGCAGACTGTGCGCATGCTGCAAACAGATGTGGGCAGTTTGAATTACGAGATCGCACGCTTGTAGTCATAGTGTTGTTTTGCAGTTTCAGACCCAGGGTCTTAAAAGGAGGATCATTTCTTGAAACAGCGCTGCTTTGAGTTGTACGGGAGGAAGTGCAGAAATGAGGCTGAGTCTGCGCATTCAATCGGCCACCTGCATTGTTGCGGCGCCTTGCGCTTGGGGGGGTGGCTGACAAGTCTGACAATTTTGCAGATTCTGTGACTAACCCAACGAAACCCAATAGCTCTGAATTTACTGGCAAGTCTGGGATTGGGTCGAAGTGAAATCGGACAGTCTCCCGGAAAGCAGATGGAAAGGAGAGGTGCTGTTCAACTTCCTATATTCTGCTTGATTCCAAGGGCTTGTGTCTCAGCCAATTTTTGAGCGGGAAGCCTTGACTCAGGGCCCACGCAAGTCGTGTTTAAGCTGCCAGAGAAAGTTTATTTGAGGAGGCAGTCCAAACTGAAACCATGTTTTGGTTCTCGGAACAAGGTGAATTTCCAGGCTCAGATGAGCGCATCGCATGTGGAGTGATGTCCTTTCTGACGGGGTCCGTTGGCCAACAAGTGACGTCTGAGCCTCTAGTCAGACAGCTAAGCCAGAATCAATCCCTTTGGGCAGCATTACTGTAGCAGGAAACACTGCACATCCCAATACATCGGATATGACTTTAATTGCCAGTACAGCAATGAACGCCACATGGCCTTTGGCCTTTGGCGTTTTGGATGCCTATCCCTTCTCCCGACTCAAAAGTCCATGCCAGTCACTCTCAGGTTCCTGGTGAGAGTGACGAGAGTCAGTTCCAATCTCAGGGAAGAATCGGAGTGAAATCAGAGATGCATGAAGCGTCAGCACCAGATTTTGAGGAATCGCCAAATCAGCATCCAGCTCACGTTGCAAACGGCCCAGGTAGCATAGTCGCGCGCAGAGTGCAGCCTGCGGTGCCATAGTTATAGTTGAAAGACGCGCTGAACACCTAGGCACCATCACCCTTTGAAACTTTAGGATTTCAAGGACGCTAGAAGCATTGGTTTAATTCCCCGATACATTCCAAGAAGCCAAGCAATCAGCTGCGGATTTTGAAGAACCATTTCGAAAGCGCTTCCCGATGCGGAGATGGTAAATGGCAGTGACTTCTAGATTTTTGCAAATCAGCAGCCAGATCACATTGCAAGGGCCAGGTAGCATAGTCGTTATAGCCTTTACAAACTGAACGCCTGGAAATCGAGACCGAACAAGTACATGTCCTGGGGAATATCTGCAACAAGAGTTCAAGTTTCCCTGTGAAATGAGAGCACAAGATTGGATTGTCCTGTCAAATGTTCTTAACCTTTGCCTCCCTGTAGCGTTGTTCGTGGAGAAGCCGTTTGCTGGAAACTTTACACCAACGCCCATCACACATAACATGCCCCAGGTATCCCATGGTATCCCAGGTGGCCTAGTCGAACGGGCGCCGCAGCTTTGAATCTTGAGGAGTATAAGGGTGCAACGGGCAGCCCAATTCTTGGATACATCGAGCATGAAACCCAACTGTTTCAAAATTTCAAAACCCGGACTATAGAGACGGCATGAGACGGCCAAAGAATGCCAGTCAGATCAGGCCATACCTGGCCCTTTGGGCCATCCCAGTGAGTCCCAGTGGTGTTTTTGCAGAGGGCCAAACTGAAGGATTTCAGGGATGCCACTTAAGCAGCATGGTTTCAAACAGCGGCAGCATGAAACCCAACTGTTTCAAGAATTTCAAGATAATTCTAGAGAAAGCCTAGCGATGAAGCTGAGTCAGGTGCCAGAGCTTCAGTGCAACGAATGCCACTTCTCCAAGATTCGTTCCAAAGTGGAAAGTCTCCGGGGGTGGAAGCTCTCCGGAATTCGTTAAGTAAATTTGGTCGAACGATCGTGGAACTGGAGCGAATAAGTCTGGCAGTGTCGAAGTTTCGCGGAAGTCTTCAGACGGCTTCGTGTCCATTGCTGACAGCAATTTTGTAGCAGCTGGGCAGATAGGATCTTTTTCTCCGGATAGATTAATTAAGAGAGCCACTCGCCTCAGAAAGATTGCGTGCACAGCCACCGCTGAACCACCCAACGTAAAGTTTCGACATCTTCGTTCAAGTGAGTTTGGGCAGCCTCATTTTTACCCATTGAAATCGACATAGTTGGAGGGATTCCGGGAGAGCCCAAATTTCAGTGACAGCCACGAGAAGATTGAAAGCTCTTAGACGGCACTACGGCACATGCCGAGTCTGAGAATGCGCCGAACGCCGGGCTCGAAACCAATCCCTGAGAATCCATGCGCATAAATAGGGTCAAATCGGAAATGCATGCAAATAATGAAGTCATTTCTGATGATCGCAAATAGCGCACGCATTGTCGAAATGTAAAAGTCGGAGATTGCATGTTATCGGAAAAAGGTTCATATTGGCTTCAAATTGCCTAACATGTTGCGTGACAAACCGTGACAAACCGTGACGAACCGTGACAGAAGACAAAAAACTATACTTAAATCTTGGGCATTGTCGGAAAACGCCGTGACAGACCGTGACAAACCGTGATAAGGTCAGCGGCTATTCCCCATAGACTGTCGGAATTTATCGGAAATCAATCGGAAAATAAACTGTCGGAAATACATGCAAAAATCATGGTCAGACCGCAAATAGCATGGTCGGACGCTCTGAGAGCGTGCATACCCAAATGCATGCAAATAGTCCATACTTTGGATCCTCGGGGAATGATCGTTTGGCAAGTTCGTCAATTTTTTTGGGGAACCCGCAGCAACACAAACGACCAAAAAAGTAAAAGATTAGCCACCTTTTTTCGAAAGGACCAAAGCATTTTTTCTTATTTCTCCGTCGGGCGACGGCCAAACTGATTGTCCCGGGAAGCAACACGTAGCAGCCATCACTAGCATGAGCCCTAGATGTCGGCGCAAGCTTTCCACATCCTGGCTGAAGTGCAGAAGGTTGAAAGATCTTGAAAACAAGATATGCAAGCTATATAAGGCTGACAATCATCCAAGACATGCTGAAAGACGCTGAAAGCATATGTCCCAAACCACCTGGGTGAGAGAATATGCCTCCGCAGATTCTGCCTAGGTTTCGCTTTTCGGAACTGAGCACCGTGGGGACACGATGCCGAATCTTTTCATGAGAAGCATGGAAAGGTGATGAGGGGACTTGCGGAGTTTTGATTCGGGCTCTTAGACGTAGCTCAGAAGTGGGTGGCGTAAATGATTTTTGCAAATCTGCGCTGCAGGGTAAGTTACGCTGGGATTACTTTGTTTGTTCTTGCAAGCTTGCTGCCTCCCAGCACTGAATCGTCTTTGCCGTGGCTCCATGTGTTTGACTGGACAGTTCCGAACGCCCACCAGGCGAAAGAGAGTCCCAAATCTAATCGTCTCTCGGATCGATCGGTTTGGCATCCGTTTCCCCAAAAAGTGCCAGCTGGGTGCCCATCCCCCTATACCCAGTCTTCTGAACCAAGCTTACCAATTCCACAATCGATCCAAAAGTCCAAAAGTATCATTTTGATTTATTTTGCAAATGGGAGCCGATCGCATCTGCGGATCTCAAAATCATGGAAGGGTATGTGATGGTATGTGCACCTTGACATGCGCGAGTGGCAAACACTGCATCGCGATTGATCCAGCTCTCATGCACACATACACATGTGTACACATAACCTGTGACAAATTACTTCTCAGATCTGTCCGTGTTAAGTGCCAGCCACCAACCTAGTACTTGCCGGTCCGAGAAAGCCCCCTGCACTACGACCCACATCCAGTGATGAGTTCATGCGCCACACAGAATAGCAAAGAAAGGCTGTTGTTTGGTGATCAAGCCATGAGGGATTCATTGAATTCGAGGCACTGGACTCTCAAAAACGAACAAGAGACATGAGAGCATGATGTGGGCAAAAGTTTGAGCTTCACACCCAAACCCCCAACAATGACAGCGGAAATTTGATTATGGACATGAGAGATGTGCTTAAACATTGCAATTCTTCCCCCTTGTGGGCTAATTTACGTGCCACTAGTTGTTTAGCAACCCCGAGTCTACTCAGGAAGGTTTCTCATTCTCGGATCAATCGCGAATTGGCTTGGAAACCCGTGCGAATCACACATGCGGTCAATGGCACTACATCTTTCTGAAAGAGAAGACCTATAGGATACAAAATCCTCTCGCGATTGACATGCTTGGGGTCGAGGTTTGTGTCGTGGTTGATTGGCGATTGTTATGACTGTCGCTTCCCTAGGACATTTTTATCTTTGATGACCCACATGAATGGCAGGATGTTGCAAGCTATTTCAGCTATTTCGGGGTTCATGAAGGTACCAGAACTTTGACCCAGAGCCAGGCTGACCAATGCCAAGCCCTTTTAAGCTGTTCAAGCCATTTGGGTCGCCACTACCACAGAGTCTTCCTATCACTTTCAGTGATGCCTGGAAAGACATCGAAAGCAAAGCAAGACCAATCTTACCGTGCCTTTGGAACGGCCAAGATCCTAAACCCCGTCGGCCAAGACATCTTCAGACAATCCCCTGTCTCATGTCTGCGAATAGATCAGTGGAGTGATGTGAGCATTGGATATGAAGTCATCCTCCCTCCGATAAGCTATATTCAAGAGAAGCTCCGTGTCAAGCAATCCTGGGCCCAGCCCAAAACGATGAGAGTGATGAATTTGGGCGTTCAGTTTGCAAACCTTCAAGCGTGCACTTCACCAGTTGCAGCCTTGCGCCATGTAGTCGCCCCGGCCTAGACTCTCTTTGCAGTTCCGCGCCACATGGAGCTGCAAAAGTCGCGGCCGTGAAAATAAGCATGTCGACCCAGGGAACATTGGCATTTTTTCTCGGCGGGCAACCCTTCCAAGTTGGCATTGAGATCTCAAAGCAAAACCAGCTGCTTTGTGGTTTCCAACAGATGTCCATTCAGACATCTGGGGCATTTTTGTTTGGGCTGAGGAAGGAGCACTGGAAGATGTGCGATGGCCAAGCCGCGGATTCCCCAACGAATCCCTGGATTTCGTGTCGAGATCCACGGCGCTAAGATACATCCAGACATGAAATGCAGCTCTTTCGAGACACCGGTTTGGCACCAACTTCAGAAACTGGTGGCTTTAGATTTTCACACCAGTGATTTGACACTCCAGTGGATTTTAGCCAGAAATGATATAATGGAGGTGACTGCGCGAAGACCGTTGGCTGGGCCAAAGGCATGTGTCATGCACATTTGTAGGTTCAACTTGCAGCAGAGCAGGGCCGTTCCAAGAAGTTTAGGGAAGACATGTGACACAAAAAAGACGGCGCTGTGAATGTCAAGATGAGCCACAAAAAGCCTAGCCGATGGCTAGCACAATACAGGACATCAATGCGATTGTTTCGTTTCATTTGCACACGGAGTATTTTGGGGTTCTCGGTTTTGAGGCCATCCCATATCTCAAAAATATCGCATTTGTTTGAGCGCAAGTTTCCCATAAGTATGCCGTATACTTCGTGGGGCGACATGATCCATCTGCCCCCCTTTCCCCGATCTCCGTGAGCCTTTGTTTTGACCGTGCACCTGGAAATATTATGAAATATCTATATGGCTGAGCATACTCAGTGAAGCCCACAGTCCAGTGCACCGCAGTACGTGAGGAAACAGCACTAGAAACCAAGGCCCAACATGTTCGTAGAATCGCTGCTCCACGTTTCTTAGTTGTCTGGGGGGTCACTGGTGACCATGGTGGGCTGTTTTTGGATGTTGGCCGCTGGATGCTGCATAGTCACGGGCTGCCGATATCATCTAAAATCTAGACCAGGTGCTGGGCCCAGGCAACAGAGTTTCCATTGGAACAGAAGGAATGGATTAGAAACGACGCAGCAGTCCCAAAGAATTGCAATGGTTCCCGCAGACTCCCACGGAGCAAAACACCGTTCCAGTTTTGCGCACGTCTTTTTTTGATAAGACTGTAGATTTGTCCGCTGCTCAAAACCTGCAAGGCAGCTTGAGCCGGCTGGATGCATGAGACCATTGTTGCTTCTCAAGCTAATGATCTATCACTTGAAGTGAGTGCCGTTTTTTGGGGTGCCGGGATATAGAGAAGAGTGTACAGTGTAGCGAGCCCAAGGCCATGGCGTTGAAATGCGGCCTCGGGCTGTGGCCTTGAAGCGAGGTGTGAAATATCACAACTCGGCGTGAAGAAGGGCTTGTGGAAGCGCTTTGAGAGGCAGGTTTGGCAGAGACACGGCCGAACCTTAGTCAACATACTCTCTTTTCCTTATCAAGGTAACACGAGAAGAAGGCAATCCACTCCTTACACCCCTTTCGCAGAAGTGAGAACTGTGGCCACGGAAGTAGTGCGTTACAAGCCTTTAAGAAAAACTCACTGCAGTATGAAGGAATATAAGGCCCAAGTAGTGGCCACATCTCATGTAAGATTTCGTAGTCGGGGTCGGCGATACACGTTAACACTGCCTGGGATGATGTGAAGGCGAAAAGAAGTTCCTTTAACTGGCCCAGAGGATGATTCACCTTTGTCCCTGAAAAAAATAATTGTTGCTGGAACAGATGAGCAAGAGGCTGCCCTGCAGCTCCAGAACCGATAGGGGGCGACCATACCATTCCAGTGGTTCCTGCAGACTCCCACGGAGCAAAACACCGTTCCAGTTTTGCGCACGTCTTTTTTTGATAAGACTGTAGATTTGTCCGCTGCTCAAAACCTGCAAGGCAGCTTGAGCCGGCTGGATGCATGAGACCATTGTTGCTTCTCAAGCTAATGATCTATCATTGAAGTGAGTGCCGTTTTTTGGGGGTGCCGGGATATAGAGAAGAGTGTACAGTGTAGCGAGCCCAAGGCCATGGCGTTGAAATGCGGCCTCGGGCTGTGGCCTTGAAGCGAGGTGTGAAATATCACAACTCGGCGTGAAGAAGGGCTTGTGGAAGCGCTTTGAGAGGCAGGTTTGGCAGAGACACGGCCGAACCTTAGTCAACATACTCTCTTTTCCTTATCAAGGTAACACGAGAAGAAGGCAATCCACTCCTTACACCCCTTTCGCAGAAGTGAGAACTGTGGCCACGGAAGTAGTGCGTTACAAGCCTTTAAGAAAAACTCACTGCAGTATGAAGGAATATAAGGCCCAAGTTGTGGCCACATCTCGTGTAAGATTTCGTAGTCGGGGTCGGCGATACGCGTTAACACTGCCTGGGATGATGTGAAGGCGAAAAGAAGTTCCTTTAACTGGCCCAGAGGATGATTCACCTTTGTCCCTGAAAAAAATAATTGTTGCTAGAACAGATGAGCAAGAGGCTGCCCTGCATCTCCAGAACCGATAGGGGGCGACTCAGCACCTATATATACCAGTGTTCCGTGGGCAAAGCGTTTGGCGAAGGCAGCGTGGCATGTCTAGGTGCCAGGCACCTTGAAAGAATAACTCCCAACTCTCAAGCCCCAACAGCGGCGATCCGACAGCCCAAGTTCATGTCCATAGGTCACAGGCATCTTGAAAAATCACACTCAAGTGCCAGCGCGTCTACGTTAGGCTGTGGTTTTTGGATGGATGCTGGAGCCCCTGCAGGAGTGGGTCCATTTTCGCTTTAAAGGATGTCGGACAGGATACAGTTTGATTCACATGTCGCAAAATGGGCTTTGCTGAATCCCAGTGGCAAGTGGCTGGCTGGAGGGACATTTCGTTGTGAATCAGCTGGGGCCGGCGCAAGCGAGATTGAGGGTCAGGTTGGTGGCTTGACGCCGCAGCATCACAAAAACCAATGCAATCTGAATGCTTGTCAAAGGTCTCTGAGCATGTTTTATGACTCAGATTTGAAGATAAAACTGAGGCATATTCACTCTGAGGACTCTGAAGACGGTGGATAAATATGGCAGACTTGCAAGCTTGGGGCCATATTGAAAACATGGAAAGGTGTCGGTTGCCCCAACATGTTTCGATTTGGTGCCCCATCATGGAACTTGGAAATTGAACATGCGGCCTACCATTCCGAAACTTGTATGCTAGAACTCGGTCTCAATGCGCGTAGACTGGCGCATTCCCCGCTTTTGAAGTGACTTGGGCCTTTCTCTTCAAGCATTGCTCCAACGTGCCGTGAGGCTTTTGCTCGATGCCCCAGGTTCATATTAACGCGCAAAGTTTGTTTTCAAGATTCCTCGAAGTTCATTGCCAGGGAACGAGAACTGCATTCATCGCATTTTCCAAAGATCCGGGCGAAATTTTGCCGCACCGCTGCAGATATGCCGCTGTCTTCATCATCACTCATCGCAGTGTGAGCAGATGTCAGCGGACTTGGGTGATGATTATGAGGATTGGCTGTGTCCAAACATCGGGCACCGCTAAAATCCTGTGGTTTGTACATGTTTATCATAGTTATCAAAATTTTCCAAGCACATCCCAAATAAGATGGCCACAAAGTGGGGTACCCTATCCCCCATGCCGAAGCAACGCCCGGCTGCGCGGCTGCGCGGCCAAGCGGTGACCCACGATGAGAAGCTCGGGTAACTCGTCACTGCGAGGGAACCATGGTAGGCCACTGGCTGGTTGGGGTGGAAAGAATCTAAGGTTGAACCATGTCGAACCATTTTTCTAAGGGGTTTGCAACAAAATGACATAATCATGACATGGTCCGACATGGTTATTTAACGGATTTGCATGTTTTTTTGTTGGCCTTCAAGGGGAAGGTGCAGCGACTGGGCTGGTTTCATGCGGATATTTGGGAGGCCTGGGCTTTTTGGACCGAGCACATGACATCTGTTACCGTCGTGAAGAGCCCTTCATTTGCGTTGCCAGCATCCAAATTGAGCAGTATCTATCGAAACTTGAAATCCAACGATTCCGATCTTCTGTATAACTTGCCTCCCTGTTCTTTATCAGCAGCATCGAATCCGTTTTTTTTTTGGGACTTCCCGTGCTTCTGCCAAGGCTGATTTCAAAGCCCAGTGGAGCTTGGGACCTCTGGAGCTTCTGTGCCAAAGCATGAGAGGTTCCATGTGCCCGCGCCGTTGGGGGAACTGTGTGGGATTTGGCAGAGGTCAAAATCGTTGGAGCCAATCTTGTTGGCATATGTTGGCATTTTTTTAATAGCGATATGAACTCTGAAATTTTAACTATGAACTGTGAAACATGAACTATTCTATGATATAGCGATATTCGACCCCCCCCGCCCCAAATTGAACGCGCCTTGAGAATCTGCCGGATCAAAAAGCAGCAAAGGGGCAGAGGACAGGTATTTCATTGAATTGAGAACGGTTTGACAGTTTGTTCACAATTCTTTCACACCTTTTTGAAGTTCGAACCCACCAATTTGCAAGGCCGCCTCCGAGATATACAGCGAGCGACTGTGGAAAATGAGGGCTGCCAAGGAGTTAAACCTGCTTCGGGGTTCTGTTTCTGTTTGCGTCCAAATTCTCAAGCGGAAAAACAATGCTGCACAAGACATTCAGAGCATTGAACCACGTGGAACGACAGGCAGCCCGGCACCTGAACATAAATGACAATATTGGCTTCGCCCAGATTCCCTACATTGGAGATCGTTGTTTGCCGCAGCAGGGGTCCTTATATCTGCGCTTATTTGCTCGTGCTTGTAGGATAGTATTACTGTACTTAGTATTTTGCATGAATCTATAGGACTAACCTAAACAGATTCACCCAATTCACTCCACAAAAATTAACGTGTGATTTTGAATACCATCAAAGCATGCAATTCACAATCTAGCTGGAAATGAAAAACATTGTGCGCATGACATGTTCGGATCCACAAGACTCCACAAGATTGGCTTGATTCCGAAGGTTTAGCTGTTCCCTTCGAATCACCTAGCTGTGTAAACTTTCATGCGAGATTCTGAGACCCCAAACGTTTTTTGCGGTACGACTGCCTCATCAACAGACTTGAAGAACCACTTAGAGAGCCCAGGAATCCCCAGCAACTGGAGGTGCATGACAAACTTTATTCACATTCCCTGCATTGGAGACGCAACCATTTTTGGGATGCATGTTTTTTGAACCTGGGCACCCTTTTTTTGGACCGGTACATGTTTTTTGGATTTGCCCGGATTGTTTTTTTTGGACCTGGGGGCACAAAAAATGTGGGGGGACTTGCTTGTGTGTTTTCTGGACCCTGTGGGGATATTTGTTTTTTTGACCTGCATGTATTTGTGCTGGACCCAGGGAAATTTTTTAGACAGCCAAATTAATTGTTTCTGACATCGGTTCCTTTTTTTGGGCCCGCGCACCTGCTTCGTGGACCTTGCCTCCATAGGGTGGGGGGGAACTCCATTGTTATAGGCGCTCACATTGGGCTGGATGTTTTTGGACCTTGGCGCCTTCTTTCTTGAACCTGTGCATGTTTTTTTTTGACCTAGCACAGGGTGGGAGGAATTTAGATACTGAGACAAGATGCATGCAAGAAGTTGTTGATGCAGGAGAATTCGGACATTGAAACAACATAAACGCAAGAAGTTGTGGAGAGGCCAACGCGGGGAAACCTACATATGAAACCAAATAGATGCAGGAAGTTGAGATGCACATTGGGGGAAGAGAAAGTTAGATATTAAAACAAGATGAGCGCAATAAGTTGTTGAGAGATGAGGGGTGAAGCCTAGACATTGAAACTAAATGAAGACACATGAAGATACATGCAAAAAATTGCTGAGAGACGCAGGGGGAAGTTTTTGGGACCAAAAAATGAATGCCGGAAGCTGCACAGGGTGGGGGGGATTTAGATATTGAGACAAGATGCATGCAAGAAGGTGTTGAGAGAAACGGGGGAGCATGTAGATATTGAGGCCAGATGACCGCAGAAAATTGGTGAGAGAGAGGCAGGTGGGAGAGGGGGAAGTTAGACATCGAAACAAGGATGAACGCAAGAAGTTGCTGAGACGCGAAGCGGAAGTCTAGATATTGAACCCAAATGACGGCGCATGCAAGAAGCTGTGGAGAGACGAGGGGGGACGCTTATATAGATATTGAAACCGCATGAATGCGGCAAGTGGCTGAGACGCACAGGTAAGTGGGACTTTTGGAGGCCACGGGGGAACCAGATATAAAACCAAATGAATGCAGGAAGTTGCTGAGGGGCACCGGGGATATTGAAGCAAGATGAATGCAGGAAGTTGTTGAGGGGCACCGGGGAGGAAGCTTAGACAGAAAAAAACAAGATGAACGCAAGAAGTTGTGGGGAGGCTACGGGGGAAGTATAGATATTGAAACCCAATGAGTGCAGGAAGTTTAGGAAGTGTGATAAGAGGCACGGGGGGAAGTTAGGTACTGAAACCAGATGAGCGCAAGAAGTTGCTGAGAGACAGGTGAAGCTTGTTAAGAGACGAGAGGGGAAGTCTTGAAACCAAATGAATGAATGCAGGAATTTTCTGAGACAGATATTGAAACCAGATGAATGCCCCCAAGTGGGGCACAGAGGTGTGAAGAATAGAAATTGAGAAGAGGGCAGAATGGGAAGGACGTGGGAAACCCAATGTGTCACAAGGAGAGGGGCGTTGCACTCCCTGGAGAGCATAGATATTGAAACCCAATGAATGCAGGAAGTTTGGGAAGTTTGATGAGAGGCACAGGGGGGGAAGTTAGATATTGAAACCAGATGAGCGCAAGAATTTGTTGAGAGACAAGGGGGGAAGCCTAGACATTGAAACCAAGTTGAGATGCATGCAGAAAGTTGTTAAGAGGCCAGAGGGGAAGTGTTGAGACCAAGTGAATGAATGCAGGAAATTGCTGAGAGAGGTACCAGGGGGGGAAGTTTAGATATTGAAACCAGGTGAATGCCCCCAAGTGGGGCACTTTCACACAGGTTGACACCAAGTTGAGCCCCTGCGTAACTGAAAGGCCGAAACAGGTGTGAAGAGTAGAACTTGAGAAAAAGAGGGCAGATGTGTCACAAGGAGAGGGGCGCTGCACTCCCTGGAGAGCATAGATCCTGAAATCCAATGAATGCAGGAAGTTTGGGAAGTTTGATGAGAGGCACATGGGGGGGAAGTTAGATATTGAAACCAGATGAGCGCAAGAAGTTGTTGAGAGACAGAGGAAGCCGAGATGTTGAAACCAAATGCATGCAGGAAGTTGCTGAGAGGCACAGGGGTGCAGGAGAAATTCGGAAATTGAAGCAACATAAACGCAAGAAGTTGTGGAGAGGCCAACGCGGGGAAACCTACATATGAAACCAAATGGATGCAGGAAGTTGAGATGCACATTGGGGGAAGAGAAAGTTAGATATTAAAACAAGATGAGCGCAATAAGTTGTTGAGAGATGAGGGGTGAAGCCTAGACATTGAACCCAAATGACGAAGCATGCAAAAAGTTTTGGAGAGACGAGGGGGGGGACCTAGATTCTAGATATTGAAACTAGATGCATGCAAGCAAATGTGGAGAGGCAACGGGGGGAACCAGATATAAAATCAAATGAATTCGGGAAGTTGCCGAGGGGCACCGGGGAGGAAGTTAGATATTGAAGCAAGATGAATGCAGGAAGTTGTTGAGGGACACCGGGGAGGAATCTTAGACATTGAAACAAGATGAACGCAAGAAGTTTGTGGAGAGGCTACGGCCGGGGGGAAGTATAGATATTCAAACCATATGAGCGCAAAGATCTTGAACCCAAATGACGATGCATGCTAGAAGTTGTGGAGAGACGAGTGGGAGAAGCCCAGATATTGAAACTGCATGAATGCAGGAAGTTGCTGAGAGGCGTGAGAGCTTTAGAATATTGAAACAAGAGGCTTGCAAGAAATTGCGGGGAGGCCACAGGGGTGCCACATATGAAACCAAATGAATGCAGGAAGTTGCAGAGAGGCTAAGGGGGGAAGTATAGATATTGAAGCCCAATGAATGCAGGAAATGTAGGAAGTTTGATGAGAGGCACAAGGGGGGAAGTTTAGATATTGAAGCCAGATGAATATCCCCAAGTGAGGCACTTTCACCCAGGTTGACACCAAGTTGAGCTCCTGCGTAACTGAGAAAGGCCGGAAGAGGTGTGAAAAGTAGGAATTGAGAAGAGGGCAGAAAGGGAAGGAGGCACTGAACCACACAATGTACTGAAATGCTTCCTGCCATGTAGCCGCACCCGAGTGCTCAGTAGTGAAAAAAGGTTTACGGTAGACAGCTGCTTGAATCAGAGCGATTCCATGCTGTTCAGGAATTGCGAACACCAAATATAGACATTGAACAAACTTGATTCTGAAGCGAATTCTTGGATTCCAACATACACACTTACTGATGGGACTATGAAGCAGATCTGGCCTCCAAGGTTGAGTTGAAGCATGGGAAACTTGCATTTTTCTCCATCGAAAAGAGGTGGAACTAAAACCCCCAACCGAAGTCAGTTGTTTTTTGGTTTACAGTCCAAACATCTTCCAAAGTCGGCAGTTTGAGTGTCGTTGCGGCATGAAGTCGGCCCAAGCATTTGACAAGCAAAGTGAGTTCTGACCACATCTGCTGGTTCGGGGGTCGTCTGTGCACGTCAAAAGTGGGTCGTTTGTGCACGTCAGAAGTTGGTCGTCTGTGCACGTTACTTGTGTGTGATTTTGTCATTGTATCTCTGTAACATGATTCTTCTTGTTGCTGTTTTTTCTTTACATCATCACACAACTCATCACTGTGTGGTTTTTTCCCTCACATCTCTGTGTGGGTTTTTTGTTTTTAGGCTTGCATTCCGCGCCTTCTCCTCCGTCTCCTCCTCCGTTGTTCCTCCTTTCACTCAACTTCACCCAAGTTCTCTCACTCAGCGCACACAACTTATCTCACACAACTCCTCTCCTCTCACAACTTACATAACTCATCTCACACAACTCATCTCTCACAACTCAACTCACACAACTCATCTCACTCAACTCATCTCACACAACTCAACTCACTCAAGAGCTGCTTTCGTGTGGCATTTGGTGCAGCTGCTTTCATGTCCTCTCACTGAACTTCACCCAAGTTCTTTCACACAACTCATTTCACAACTCACACAACTCATCTCACACAACTCCTCTCATCTCACAACTCACACAACTCATCTCACACAACTCAACTCACTCAAGAGCTGCTTTCTTGTAGCATTTGGTGGAGCTGCTTTCGTGTAGCAGGCTCAGCACTGGCTGCTGCTGGAGTTGCTTTCGTGTGGCAGGCGCGAGAGTTTGACTTTCTGCAGGCAGCAGCGCGTGGTGCTCCTGGAGCTGCTTCTGCGTGCTATGGGGACTGCCGGCGTGCGCTTGGACTCAACTCATTTCACACAACTCAACTCTTTCAATTCATCTCACACAATGACACAACTGACCTCCCTCAACTCATCTCACTCAGCGTTCCTCATTCAACTTCACTCAACTCATCTGACTTAACTCACCTCACCCAACTGCCACTCAACTCATCTCACTCAACTCATCTCAACTCATCTCTTTCAACTTATCTCACACAAGTCAACTCACTCAAGGTGCAGTGCTTTTGTGTGCAGAGGAACATGAATGCTTTTGCCCCCCCCGCCCCTAAATGGCTGAGTCAAGTGATGATTTAAGTCCATGGATCCCACCCTTGTTCCCAGCATCAATGGCGCTTTTGTCCCCCCCCACCCCGCAACCAAACCCTAAATGGCTGCCCGAGACTATGTTCAAGGTGCAGTGCTTCAGATGACAGGCGATCAAGGTGCAGTGCTTTTGTGTGCAGAGGAACCTGAACGCTTTGTCCCCCCCACCCCCGAACCAAACCCTAAGTGGCTGAGTCAAGTGATGATTTAAGTCCATGGATCCCACCCTTGTTCCCAGCATCAATGGCGCTTTTGTCCCCCCCCCAACCAAACCCTAAATGGCTGCCCGAGACTATGTTCAAGGTGCAGTGCTTCAGATGACAGGCGATCAAGGTGCAGTGCTTTTGTGTGCAGAGGAACCTGAACGCTTTTGTCCCCCCCACCCCCCAACCAAACCCTAAGTGGCTGAGTCAAGTGATGATTTAAGTCCATGGATCCCAGCATCAATGACGCTTTTGTCCCCCCCCACCCAACCAAACCCTAAATGGCTGGTCAACCCACCATCAATGGCGGGACCCAGCATCAATGTGCGCGGATGACCGCTCTATGTGCGCATATGTGCGTGGATGACCCGGTTTCTCTGTGCGCGGATGACTCGTTTGCAATGTGCGCAGATGACCCGCTTTCAATGTGCGCAGATGACCCGTTGACCCGTCGGCTGATATGGGTTTCTCCGTGTCCAAGCGCTGAAAGTCTTGAGATATCTTGGGATGACATCAGGGGCGACTGGACCATGAATTCACGTCCCTATATCGAGCATGAGGCGCAGCTATTCCGAGTTGTGGATGGCGTGGGGGAGATTCCAGCAATGGTGTCAAGTCACCGGATCAGCCAGATTCCATGGGAATAATCAGGGTGAAAACAACGCCAGCCCAACCAATCAGCAGATATTGCAGCAATGTTCAATGAACATTCTCACACCTACATTCCTAGACCATTCATGTAAGTCATTCGGAAAGTTTTCTGCAGGTCACTAGCCCAGCATTGTGCACTTCCCAGGTGCATCCAGAATTAGTTCAGATCAAAAAACCAAACGTCAGAGAGGCAAACAAGCACATGTCTTGGGAAACAGTGCTTGAAGGGTTTCAGGATTCACTCATTCCGAAGATAAGAAGCGCCAGGCAAGACACCTTTGCAAATAACAATCACTGCTTGGTGATTTGGAACATTTTTTATTTTTCCATATATTGGGAAGAATCATCCCAACTGACTAATCTTTTTCAGAGGGGTTGAAACCACCAACCAGATGCCAATATATGCAGAGTGGACTAGTCAGCCGCTAAACATTCGATCCTTATATCTCTCGAACCGGTTCAGACTCGGGAACAAGAAACCAGAAAACACATGCCATCGGCCATGAAAACTGGTTCAAACTTTTGGAGGATATAGCGTCCACAATGATTGCAACGTTCACTTTCATGGAGCATGAAGCGCAACTGTTTCGAGCTCTGGACCGCATGGAAAGCCCAGCAATTGTAGTCGCGAGATCAGTCAGATTCGGTAGGAAGAATTCGAGTGAAAACAGCACCAACCCTAAAGAATTAGATAAGCTGTAGATTCCGGTGAGAACATGTAGGAACCATTTCCAATGCAGGGCTTATATCGTCTATGTCATAGCTTTGGGTTCCGATGCGAGAAAGCTTCAGGTGTGAAGTGCAGCAGTTGACGCTGAACTGCCAGATACATCCGATCCATCCGGTCGGGCCCACCCCTTGATGAAAGCCATGTGTTTTGAGATCTGCACTGTGTGGCAGGAAGTCAATCAATGAGGCCAATCATTGCTAATCCCCTGTGGACATCGCCATGAACGCATATTGGAAGATAGAAGAAGCACGAAGAAAGTCGAGACAATCAGCTACAAGCGTAGCCCTGTCAGCAGTGTGTCTTAAAGGAAAGTTTTATGAATCCAACAGCCAGCGCGCTGGCACACCAGGTAGGATAGTCGAGAGATGCCTAGAACACTGCAGGGACCACATGGTGTGGCCAGATCATATTGTCGTTTCAAATCGCTACATGGGACCGCATGAAGCGCCACTGTTTCGAGATTTCGCTGTCAGGAAGGGAGTTCAGCAACGAGGCTTGTGCCATCTTGTGCCTCCATGACAGTCCAGTTGGCTTCCGCCAGGAAGGATTTATAGCGAACCGGGCTGGGCAAAGATTTCTAGTTAACGCCTTAAGCAGAATGAACTTGTTGCGCAAGAGAGCCGCTGGATGTCGAAGACACTTGACACAAAGGGCTGCAAGCGTTGATTTCAATATGAGTCGCAAGCAACTTTTTCGATGGCGCCATGCAGGAGGTCCGAAATGCAAACCACCACGCTACGGTAAGATCAGGTAGGCTCTGCCTAGCCAAGCTCCAGATTTGGGGAAGATTCCCCAACAAGTATGGTATGCTCATACTTTGTGAGGTCTAACCCATCTCGCGCCCTATTGAATTGCTCCAAGGCGAAAATGGCGACAGCTGCAACAATATATCACCAGGACGGCCTGCGCTAGGCGCAGCTTCCTTGAGCCTGAACTTTGAACGCCCCTTGGCATCGAATCCCATGGCGCCAGAAACGCCCATGTGAAATCATGAATTCCAGCACCCCAAATCTGAACCGAGTGCCAAGCAGCCGTAACTTGTGTCATATGGCTGTCAGCATGTCCTAAGTGGTCGTGCAAGCAATTTCTTTCAGAAAAAAATACATTTTAGGCAACTCAAGTTGCGTAAAAGTCGCGCAAGTGTCGTGTGAGACCGTTTCCAGCCCAACCCCGCGTAAGTCAAAATTGTGGTCGTGTAGTGCGGTCGGGATGTAGGCATTTAATCACACCCTTTGGACGCTGCTCACATGGGGATAGGAACCAATCATACCAATCCCGATCCATCTCAACTAGCCTCTAGAAGTGCGCAAGATTTCTTGGAAGTTGTTCAAGTGAAACGCATTTGTGTCATCCGTGCCAGTCACATTTTCTGAACCAAGCCTCCATCAAGAATCCCATGACTTTAAGTTACCAAAGGGCGACAAAAGGGTGAAATTGAGGACTTTTCGTTTGCCCTGGCGAGTCAAAATGGATGCATGCCGGCGGCTGAAGCGACATTTCCGAAGGATTTCCTGATCTTAAGGTCCAAAATGGTCCAAACATCTAAGAATATTACATTGTTACAAGTTCATAATATGTTATCATTATTTCATAATATTTCATATAGCCCCAAATAGCCTCCAAAATGCACAGCTGAAACCATCAGCACTTGCCGTGGCGTGTCCTCAGTGAGTCGACGGCCGCGGCGGCCGTGCAAAATCAGGTGCCGAAGCTTCCCGCGTCGTTTCCTCGTCGTTTCCTCGTCGTTTCCTCTTCGTTTCCTCATCGTTTCCTCGTCGTTTCCTCGTTTCGGTGACCCCGGGCCGGGACGGCTCAGTACTTGTGGTTGGCAAAGGGTTTGGCGAAAGTTTATTCTAACGGGGTGGTTCACCAGGTTGTTTTCTTGGTGAAGCGAGAACCTAAAAAACGAGGCAAGGCTTGGATGCCGTGCCAATGAGCCGGCGCCGTGCCAAACCTTAGATGCCTAAGAACCATGGCCGTGCCAAACCTTAGATGCCTAAGAACCATGAAATCCATGAAGTTGAACATCAGCGCTTTCTTGTGCCCAGCGTTCCTCCAAAGAACGGCGCATTTGGAGCGTTTGCAGCACGCGATTTGTTGATGGCGACTGTTTCAGGAATTGCTCCGTATCCACCTTGAAGGGCTTTCGACAGGACACGGCTTGATTCACATGAGCTCATAATGGTTTCACTTGTTTCCGCCATGGATCCAGATCTTATTCGATGCAGCGGTTCTGGCTTGCTGGAGGAGTACATTGTGAACTACTTGTGGCGCATTCAAAGGATCGATTTTTCCATAGTTGTCATGGTTTCAGTTCCTTATGTTTGCATCGACCCGGAGGCTTATTCGGCCCATGACCCCGGAGAATCAGCCAAAGCAGAGCGTGCCGAAAAATGAACGATGCTGAGCGAATGCAGCGTTTGTCGAGGAGGGGCCCAAGGTATCAGAAAACATTGGCAACAAATTGAAGAAGAAATTGCATTTTATGGCTTTATCATGGTCTATCCCATGTTTCATGAATTTCTGGCATGTTCACCATTTTGTTGGGGGCGTTTTTCAACGATGACAAACATCCAAAAATGAAAAAAATCACCAGAATCCTTGGGTATTGCGGATCATTGATACCCCACCGGGGCTCAAAATATTTCCTTCTGGTATAGCTTGAGTTACAGCCATGAAACCCACATATTGTTGATCCGATGGTGGAAGCCGAATTTCCAGCATGTTGCTCAGAAAAGGGGATGGAAAAATCCAGTTGTGGCCAGTTTCAAACCCCAATGGGAATTTGACACAAAGATGGGAATAGGATGGAATAGGTAATGTGTTGTGGCCATAGCTGCAGTTTGTAACATTGAGGCCATTGCAATGTTTATTTTGATTTTTCTATGTGTTAATATTATATAAATTATATATATACATACTTTGCTCAACATCATTTTTCATTTTTTAAAAGGGACAATGATGGTGATTAAACCAATTAAACCAACGTGTTAACAGGGCGACCTGTTTTCAGACTGCTGCCACGTAAGCCATGCTATGGACGTGTTTCAAACTGGGTGACCTTATTTTTTGAAATTCCAAATGATTGAGTCTGATTGAGGTCATTGGTGTGTCATTGCAACCAACATCCAATGGTGAAGGCTACCCTACTTGATTCGACTTGCAAACATGTTGGTTGTTTGATGGGTATCGAAGATTAAATGATTAGCTTGGCATGGCGCATTTTCCGGAATATCCAGTGATGTGGACAGACGGCTCACTTTAATTGAAGTGTAACAGGGACACATTTAACCACCAAACATAGCTGGATGAATTGCAAAGACCTCACTGTGACATCCCCCTAAATAATGGTTAGTAAGCATATATATAGCAAATTACATCCCAAATGATCTTATTTCAAGTTGATTGTTTTCATTCAGCCATAAATAGGCTCTGAGAGATTGTTCTCTGGTGCCCATGCTTGCACAGGCAGCTTTCGTGTCCACGATGCAGCCAACGGTTCGAATCACCTGGTTCACTGTCTCAAAAAATTGAACCTTGGAAAATTAATGAACACGTTTTTCCATCCTGCACAGCATTGAAATGATGTGAATGAACTCTCAGGTCTGACCGTTGCGCACAACTGCCGCGTACTCCACATTTCGGGTACAGGAACCACATGGAACCACTTCCGAGTTTCGTGATTTCCCGTGCCATGGCCATGGGACCATATCCAACCGTGCCATGGTTATGGTCCCATGGTCACATGGTTGCCACCACCTTGCCAGGCCGCTCAGCGTTAACAAGTCGTGGGTATACTTGGGAACAAGAAATCCTTCAGACGCGCATCCCACAAGAGGTTATATTAGTTACGTATATATACTTGTACGTATATCAGGTATATGAAAAAGTGAATGTTCGTATGTGGCAGAGAATTCTTTATGTGTTTTATCGCATTCCGCAAAAGGCTTATAAGATGGTCATGGACCACATACCCACTGTGTTTCTTTATCCAGCATAACATGGTTTTGCCCACGAAAAGGGAACCCCATACATCATATATCCCATGATTATCATCATTTTCTCAATCGCATGGAGAAAAGCAATGGGGTGTGCCATCCATTCTTGGCCGAAGATGATATTGTTGGTTATGTACCGTTTGAATTTATATATATATATATATTTATATACATGTCAAAATCATCCACATTTAGTATTGCTAATGCTTTACTGTATATCTGTATACATCTGTATCCCATGATCAATGGTGAGGTTTTGGGGGCATCTCCCGTTTTTGGGACCCAAATAATGTTGGGCTTAGAAGAAAGATTACGAGTAAAATGCCTCCTTACGTAGTGCAGTGTAGTGCAATGTAGTGTCACAATGCATTCAATGTAGACTGGAATTCATAACCAATGCATGAGGTCATGTTAATACACATGAACCCTGGAATCCAGTTTGCTCGCACTGACATAATAGTATGTCCACTTGTTTTAACTAACTTCCAGCAGGTCCGGGTCTACAAAATGTATACCACGGCCAATTGCTTGGCTCAAGACATTCCGTCGCACGAAAACGGCTGCTGACTGCAGCTTGAAGTGTGGTTGGGCCACCAGATCCACGTGATCTTTTGGTTATCAGCCGTCGGGCTGTCGCAATAGCTTCTGACAGGGGTTGCATCGACCAGGAGTACCTTGACGAGTTTCTTGAACCGGATCGCAAGTCTCAGATCCCAGACGTCTTGTGGAGATCTATCAGGGCGCCAAGGGGGAGGACGAAGAGGTCTTGCAACAAAGGTTCGGCACATCAAAGAGGGAATCACTCAGGGGTACTATCAAGGGAATTACCCGTTCATAACTCGAGACGGATTTGAAGACGCAAAGCAGTGGAAGTTTCAGATCAGTAACTCGGTGTTACAAGGGGCTACAGTTTGGTAAATCGAGACTTCTTCAAGTGAGGAGGGGTTCAGATCTTGGAAAGGCCAGCAGCAAAAGCTCGCCCAGCTCCGAAAGCATCAGAACCATTCGATCGCTCAGCAAGCTCCACTCAAAAGTCGTCATCATCATCTGTTGTGCTTGAAGCAAAATCTTGTCCATCTAGCGAATCTCGAGTGCCAAAGGCAAAATCTCGACCATCTAAGGGATCACAACAGTTAGGAGCACGTGCAAAGCCAGCTGCGAAGGCCAACGAGAGAATCTTGAGGCCTTGACTATATCTTCCGGACACGGTGGTTTGGTTCGATCGCGGCAACAAGGCTGAGGACATTGGCTCTGGCCCGGAACCTGTTGGGGTGAATTTCAGAGAGGTTTCAAACTACAGTTCATATCGTGGCTACAAAACATACGTCAAAGCAAGATCTCCGGAATATCCCAAATTCATTCTTTTTCTTGACTGGCACCAAGTGTTGGATCGATCGAGAACGGAAGGAACTTGGAACGATACATTTCCGCAGGATTCCATTGTGTTTTTGCAACGCCTGAAAGCAGGCAGCAGAGCAGACGTGGGGTCATCGAGAAGCTTTGTCGATTGTGATTGTCTTTCACATTGAGAGTTCAAGCAAAAATCTGGACAACCTACTTCGGGTTTGCAATTCGTATCGACAGATTGCAGACGAAGGTCTCATGACTACGATTTTTGTAACCAGGGAACGCTGCGGTATTGTTGGGAAGGCGGCTACAATCAAAAGCTATACTCTTGACTACGAAATGCCCTGCGCTTTGGCAGACGATAATCACGAAGTGATTCGAGAAAACCCTGAAGAAGTCCATACGTGCCATATCCATATCAGACGCAAGCCAAAGTGCCCAGAAGCTGAGGTTGTGCAACACTATCTCCTAGATTGCGCAGCTCCTCTGGAGAGGTTGTTCTGGCGATACTGGCACCGGCAAGTGAAAAAGGGGTGAGAAGCGCCTGCGCTCCATCCAGGGGTCAAAGATCTTGGGGGGAAGAGTGGCAGGACAGTGCTTGCGCTCCTTCCGGGAGTCAAAGATTTTCGGGGGAAGAGTGTTAGTGTTCCCGTAATCCCAAAATCACTATGCAGAGTTTCTCAAGAGGGACGTTCTGATAGGTCAAGATCCCAAAGGGGTTTTGAAGTGGGTGCGGCGCAATCCACTGCCAATCCCGTCACACCATCACAATCGATGACGGCCTCAAGTTCAACATCGCAATCAACTCCGGAGCCCCGAGGGAGTAAGGATCGTAGGATAGCCATTCCAGAACATCGGATTGCTCTTCAAGCCGTGGAGGAAGCTAGGGAAACATTGCAGGCAGTAGGAGGGCATGAATTTTCACCGGCCCGCATAGCACCGCATAGCACCGCATAGCCCCGCATAGCTGCATTGACTATGCACATCATAGCCCCGACCCCGCATAGCCCCGCATAGCCCCGCATAGCCCCGCATAGCCCCGCATAGCCTCGCATAGCCCCGCATAGCCCCGCATGGCACCACATAGCACCGCATAGCATCGCATAGCCCCGCATCACACCGCTCTCTTGATGTGCTTTGCTATGCCCGTAGCTCTCAGCTTCCATGCTCATTATGCGCATTCAAAAGCAGGAACCCAGATGTTGGGCATATATTTGTGCGTAGCATATGGCATCACCGTCACCTTTAGAGACCTCCGAACTGTGCCATGCCTTCAAATGGCCTGCAACGATTTTCTGGCAATATATATACATATATATACATATATATATATACAATTGTGTTTATATATATATGCAATTATGGCATGCTTCAGCTGCACTTGATCAGCCCAGAGCTGGGCGTTGCGCAGACGTCGCCATGGCAAGAGGGCACGAGTTGTCCAGTGCAAGGAATACACCTGTGATTCTTGGAGGTCCTAGTCACTTAGTGTCCGTTTGAGACAATATTCTGTACATATAGACATCAGAAAGACCCAGACTCCTTACAAGTTGTAAAAGGCATTTCACTTTATCTTAAACCTCAACACTTGATACTTCATTCTCCACAGGACTATCCACAGGATTCTCCCTCCATACTTTCCACATCTTTCCACTATCCAGTGGTCCCTCCGAGTCCCGTCCAAGGCTGCGAAACACCGACTGCTCATGTGCACGCCCAGGACGATGTCCAGGGCCACGCACCAACTGCTCATGCGCACTCTGAGTGCCAGGCCCAGGGCTGTTTGGCAACGGCAACTCATCGTACGTATTTCTCTCCGCGCACAAGTAGGTATACAAAAAAGAGTTCTTGCCGCCAGCCATTTGTCATACCCGCTTGACTCCCGACTGTACATTTGTCAGCGACGTTTGATAGACTTGTTTTGCCAAGTCATGCATTTAATTATCTACCAGTCATGCATTTGCCAGACATGGGCAGAGATCATCAGGCCTGTGATGTTGCGCAGCTGTTTTTCTTTTAGTTCTGCAGGCTCAGGGCTTGATATCCTCGTGCCAAGATGGCGCAAACAAAACATGCGTTTTTCAAGGCAGGTGCCTGTGAGATGCATTTGCCAGGAGTGACAGGAAGGGCCATCCACACCATGGATGTTGGGCAAGAGGAGATGCCCCACCGCTTGAGGGAGATGACGTTGAATGATAGCATCGTGTGCCGCTTCAGCAAGCTACTGCCCTGTCACTTGGAAAGTATCAAAAAGACTGTGATTTTCATGATGCAGAAAGCGGGGAAAAGGACCAAGACAGCGAGCCGGGGCTAATTTTAAGGCAGACTTGTTGAATTCAAACTGTTTCATGGTGTAGTTCTGTCTGACTGCTGCACTGAATGTGACTGACTGACTTCGCTTTTGCCACCAAGAATTCTCTTCCAAAACATGGTCGCGTTCTGCGATGGAAAGGAGGGTGGCCCAGAAGCGGGCCAAAGCATGGCGCCGAGGATGCCACAGTTTGCGCCACTGGGTTCGATTCTTTCAGCAACCTCTTCATGTTTGTAGAAGACGGCGCCAAGAACTCACATAGCGAGATCTCCTGGTGCCTTGAGAAATTCAGGACTGGGCCTCCCAAGCTAATTTGTTGGAATGCACACATTTCTTTTGGTGCACACATTTCTTTTGGCTGAGACAGGATTGATGATCAATCCGCAGAGCAGAAGGCGATGAAAGTCTGCGTTTGCCCTGAGAAATTTGCTTTGTTGGCTCACCTTTGTCAGTATGCAGCAGTTGCTTGACTTGAGTCTTGCTATATAGTGGTTTCAGAAAGTCAATCAAAGAACCATTTGATCCACGCTTTCAATCTTGAACATCAAACTCAGGATTCTCTTTTTTTGTGGCAACGGCGAATGATTTCCCTTTACAGCTGCACCTAGATTTTGCTTTGATGCAGCCACTCTCAGGATGATGACTGAACAGTGAGTCTATACTTCTTCCTGCCGAGTCGCTCAGCACATCCAATGAGAGGTTATAGAACAGTGAAATCTGTGTCAAGTTTTTGTTGTTGCCACCAGAGCCAGCTCCTTTGTATCGATCAGATGCCAGATGCTCATGTTTGTCAATTTCTGTGGCCCAGGCCCGGGCCTAGAGGCGAAGTTTGGACAGTGACAAGCCGAGCAGCGACCCAGTGCTTGGAAAATCTTTTCGCCGCCGAGCGTCAGCCAATTGCAGAATTGTGCTACCCATTCACCATGCCAGCTTGACCATCATCTAGAGATTTCAGTTTGACCGAGTTGCTGTGCCAAGAGCACTGGATGTGTTTGACTATCTACCAGTTACGCATTTGATTGCATGCCCCAGAAATTCATCCCATGTCATTATCACATTTCTTCAATTTCACATACAGCCAAAAATGACAATCATAGCCCCGCATAGCCCCGCATAGCCCCGCATAGCACCGCATAGCCCCGCATAGCCCCGCATAACCCCGCATAGCACCGCATAGCCCCGCATAGCCCCGCATAACCCCGCATAGCACCGCAAGGCGCAATACGAAGATACATGGCGCTACGCAGCGCTACGCAGCGCTACGCAGCCCACACGCAAACTACGCAGCGCTACGCAGCGCTACGCAGCGCTACGCAGCCCACACGCAAACTACGCAGTGCTACGCAGCGCTACGCAGCGCTACGCAGCCCAGTCAGCGCTACGCAGCGCTACGCGGCGCTACGCGGGCCTCAAAAGTTTCGACCCCCCCTGTCGCCAACACTGTAGGGAAACCCAAGCCATCCAGGATCACCAACCAAGCCCAGAAACTTTGTCTCAGTTTTTGGGATCTCCCCAGTCTTCGCCGTTGACTGCACCAAATATGAATGCTGTTCATCTAGAAGCACAAGATCATGTTCATTCAAATCCATTTCATGGCCAATATGAATCCACCAGGTCGGGTCAGCAGGGGGCCAGTTCCAGCCAGGGTCAACCCCAGGGTCCAACGTTCGTCAAAATGAGTTGAATGTTTCAATGGATCTTTTTGTTGTTGCACAAGCCGCACACGCTGTGGAGGAAGCTAGGAGTAATTTTAAATCCCAAGCCATCCATGCTGTAGAAGAATCTAAAAGAATCTTCCAGGCACAAGCAACTCAAATGGTTGAGGCTATCCAGACTTAAACTAGGACAGAAGCCATGCATTACTTAGAACATTTGCAATCTCAAGCCCAAGAGCAATTTCGGAATCCCATGCGCAGTCCATTCAACTTCAAAAAGAATTGGAGGATTCAAGGGTACCCAGGTTGTCCAAGAAGCTTCGAAAGAGATTGAGGATGTCAAGTCACAAGCTAGGGCTGAGATCCAAAGGGTTAAGGTTGAAGCTCAGTCCATGGTGTTGGGTTTGGAAGGTAGAATCTCTGAACTGATTCGTATCAATGGGGAGTTATCCATGAAATCGGGTAAACAAATCAAGTTGATCAATGCTTTGACCCAAAGGGTTGATGAGCAGCAGTCGTTGTTAAGCAAGTTGCAAAGTATCTTAGCTATGAGCGCAACATCTAGAGCCCTGATGGTACGGATGTTCAAGTGCCATTGCAATCGCCAGTCGCTTCAGGAATCGGACAGTTAAGATCTGGTCGGGACTCAGAGATGCGCTTGCGCACCGGAGGACAGACGGGCCAATGTTCGGGTTCAGGGAGTGTTGCAAGCCCAGTGCAAAACCCACAAGTTCAGCTGTTTGCCGTGCCTTCGCAACATGGGGATGGTCCAAAGGATACCCAGCTCAAAGAGTTGTTTGCAAAAGTTGAGTCATTGGCATCCGTTGTTCACAGTTTTGCATCCAATCAAGGGGGTGGTAGAAAGTCAAGAGGGAATGGTTCCAATAAAGGGTCACCCAATGCTCAAGGAGTTTGATTTAGCTACCCCTCCAAGATCACCACCTGGTTCATCATCTTCGTCGTCTAGCAGTAAGGGAAGCGGGAGAGGTGGAAGTGGTCCACCTACTCCACCAAGGGGGTCGAATGCATCAAGGGCATCCAGCTCAAGCGATCAGAATCGTGTTGTTGACCCATACAAGTATGAAAAGAAAATCATGCGGGTTAAGCAGTTTGACCATCTGAAGATCCCCAATCTTCCTGAATCAGCATCGGATGCGAGGGCGTTTAGAAACTCGGTGTTCAATTTAGTTTGCAAGCTGGCTAAGGGTGATGAAGAACCTGTTCTCAAATGGATTGAAAAGTGTGTTGACCCAAAAGCGTTTGAATCCCTGAATGATTCATTGCCGTTTCCACTCTTGGATCGTGTCTTGGGCAGTAAACTGCTGGAGCTTAGTAAAAATATTCGCTTCGCTATGCATTTTCAGACCATGCAAGAGGCATACGAAAGGAAACATAAGCAGTCCAAAGGCAAGCAGTTGCTTTGGATCATTTTTGAGAAGAATAAGATGGAAAGAGATCGCGGCGTAGCCCCTACTCAGAGTCATCTTCTCAATTTGAGAATGCAGGGTTCAGACATCAAAGCGCTCGAGGGTTTCCGTAACAAGTTTGACTTCATGTGGCAAGCCTTGGAGGTCAGTGATCGGCCTTCAGATTCGTCACTTAGGAGCCTCTTGTTTGAGCAATTGAAATTTCACCCCAAATTGCAGTTGGCCATCGATAGATTTAGAAATTCCATCAGGGACACCATCAAAGCGCAGCTGCCTTTGGTTATATGACAAACTCGTAGAAGCCATTGAGATCCACCAGCTGGAGGAAAACACAGCTAGCATTGAGAAGTCCTTGGCAAACATTGCATCATCCAGCAAGGATGCAAATGCAGCACCTTCAAAGCTTCTCAAGGAGAAGCAAAAGGGTGATCAAAACAAAGACAAACAAAAGGTGCACCTGAAAGGATCCAGTTTGCCACTGGGGGGGAGTTAAGCCAAGTTCCAAAGCCTTAAACCTCCAAGGGTCACTGTCAGGTAATAACACGTTTTATACGTTAAAGGACTGTCCACATGCTCTTTCCGTAGTGAATGAACACCAAAGACCGTTCATATGGTTTCCACAAATCAGTTGCCTTATTTGGTAGAAGCCGATCGAGTGCAGAACATTGTCCATCACGTGCCAGAGTCAACCAAAATTTACGCTGATAGGGTTCAAGAAAATGTTCCAATAGTCTCTGAGTCTGTAACTATTGCCATGCCGGCATCCGCTGGTGGCAGCAGCTCTTCTAGGGAATTGCCTGTTGATGCTCCAGTCCCATTGCCCGGCCCACCAAGGCGAGAATCGCTTGAGGACGAGCCAATGAGAAGACCTGATGGTCTTCCGAGGTCAGGGGAACCTTTGGTGTTAAGGGAGGCAGATGTGCCACACTTTGGGGCGGGGAATGATGAAATAATCTTGGCAAAAGAACCGTCAAAAGAAGAAGCTGATAAGGCATTAGATTCAGAGGATGAAGAACTCAATCCTTGGAGGCGCCGTCGGTACGGGACAAGTTGCAAGCCGAATCCAAAACTCTCAAACATGCCTTAACCCATGTCCCCAAAAATAGATACTGTGAAGTATGCCCTCGGGCCAAAATGACAGCTAGGTACCATAGAAAAAGGGACCTTGAGGTTGACCCTGAAGAGGCTCCACCACTTCATTACGGCCACCAGCTTCGAGCAGACCACATAATCTTAGGGGAAGACCTACCCAAAGGTTCGGAGGGTGAAAGGGCTTGTCTTGTTTGTTATGATGAGTACAGTGGGGCTTTGCAAGCCTTTCCTCAAACATATAGGACCACTGATGCCAACATCTCGGCACTGCAGAAGTTCGGCGGGACCAGAGCGCATGGCAAAGCCTTGTGCAATGTCAAAACTGACAGTGCAACAGAACTGGCCGAAGCGGTAAAATATTTAGGATGGTTGCCTGATCCTGGAATCCCCAATGATGACTACCATAATGCCAAACTAGAACGCATCATTAGATCAATAAAAGAAGGTGTGAGGTCAATCCACCTAAAGGCAGGTTTTACTCATGACTTGTGGCCCAGAAGTGTCGAGTACTTCTGTGTAGCACGTAGCTTCAGCACTCTTGCGCCAATACACCCAAATGAAGGGGATGAGGTCAAGACGGAAAAGTCCATGCTTACATGCTATGAAGCTGCAAATGGCGGTTCGCCGTTCACAGGCCTGAGAATTCCGTTAGGAGTGTTGGTCTGTTACAAACCCCCGAAACACAGAGAAATGCCAGCTTTTAGTGCAAGCATGCCAAGCCAACATAGCCAGATCCGATGGAACCTCCAAAAGGTTCGCCAAAAAGAGTGATCATTTCTTAGCTAGTGCAAGCTTGGATCATCCGAACTTCTGAAGACTCCGCACTCGGCAAAGCCAACGACGAAAGAAACACCGATCACATCCGGTTGACTGAAAAGTCCTCGAACATGGCCAATGATGAAGAAGTACGAGACTTGCTGAAAGTCATGAAATTATTGCCAGGAGCAGACCTTCGGGGTTCAATTCCTTGCGGCCCGTGGTCCCGTTGGCAGGACGGCTAGGGGTGGTAAGGGGTATGCAAAGAGGCTCAAAGCTGCACGCAAAAAGTCTATAAAGATGTTGAGCAACTACATACGCTGCGCAGAGCAGGTGTTGCAAGGTGGCAGGCATGTATGCATTGAGTGGCCCAGAGGATGCTCTGGCTGGTCAATTCCAGAGCTTGTGAAGTACATCAAAAAGCATGATTTGTTTGTAGCCGAGCCAGACGGATGTGCGTTCGGTTTAAAGGATGATGAGGGACCTTGGAGGATTGTAACAAGTTCGTATCAGTTGGCAAGAAACCTTGATGCGTACAAATGCAGCCATCCGCCGGATTTCAACATTCGCACCTGGCAGGTTCCAAACCCCCTAAGTCTGCTTTCTATACTGATGAAATGGCACAATGCATTAGTCACTCGTTGTACCCCGAGGTAGTACCTTCTATGCCTGTTAAACCCATGCAGCCAGAACCACATCACCAACCGACAGCCGTTGAAGTTGATGCAGGTATCCACCTCCTGACCGACAGGAAGGACTGGCACAAGCATGAAGGTTATCTTGATGCAATCAAGAAAGAACGGGATGGTGTCTTAGAAAAATGGTACTTGGAATGATGATGAAGTAGTGCCTAGAGACGAGCTCATGAAACGCAAAGAGCATATCAACATAGGTAGAATCATGACAGTACTTTCTGTGAAACATTGGGAAGCACCAGCTCTTAGAAAGCTTAAAGCCCGAATAGTGTTTAGAGGGAATGACATAAGGGACAGCGAAGGAAATCTTGCGGTTTTGTTGGATTCAAAATCAAAATGACCCAATGCGAACAAAAGTACCAACTTGGGTCGAGCTGAGTCCTGAACTGGTTCCTGATGAGTTCAAACATATCAAGCGACCATGTGTCCGATTTTGGCGGTCCTTATACGGCCACCCAGAAGCTGGGCATCGTTGGGATATGAGATCCAGAGAGGTCATGACATATTTTGATGCAAAACCTATCGATACCTTCCAAAGTAACTTCTGGATCCCAAAATATAAACTTTTGTTGAGTCTATACGTAGATGATGTAGTGGTATCTGGACCCTCATCACAACATAAGCCCTTTTGGGATGAGATGCAACGCCACTTGGAGCTGGATGAGCCAGCTGAAGTCAGCCGAATTCTCGGCCGAGAGCACAGCATCTCAAGAAGCAAGGGGGGAACAATTTGTGCCTTTGAAATGACCGAATTCATTGATAACTGTTGTGAACTGTGTGAGACGCTTAGCAGCCGAAAGCTAAAGCCTGCAGCATCACCTTATGTCAATGATGGGAGTTTAAGTGATTCCGATTGGCATGTAAAGGGTTCATTGTCAGCAGAAGCATCTCGCGTACTCATGAAAGTATTGTGGTGTGCCAGATTGGCAAGACCTGATCTCAATAAAGCTATCTCAGATCTTACACGTAGACTTACGTGCTGGAGTGTCGCAGACGATAAGCGCCTTCATAGATTAATGAGTTACCTTTATGGATCTAGAAAGTTCACTTTCAAAGGTTACATAGGGGACCCACCAGAGTTGTTGTGTGTTTGTGTTGTTACACTGATGCCGATCACTGTTCTGCACAAGATGATATACCAAATCCACGAGCGGTATGATCATGACGTTGGAAGGTCCGCATTCATGGTGGCCACTCTCATGGGCAAGCCGCAGGCAGACGTCAACTGCACGCAGCACGACAGAGGCCGAAATGGTGTCGTTGGGTGCAGGTCTATTTCTTGAAGCACTGCCAATGCACGAGCTCTTAGAGACAGTTTTTGGTAGGCAGGTTGAACTTGTGTGTTACCAAGATAACTCCGCAGTTATCCAAATTGTTGCTGCCGGGTATAGTCTCAAACTCCGACACCTCAACAAAACTTTCCGCATAAATATAGGTTCAATCCATGAAGTCTTCAAGGAGAATGATGATTGCCTGTTGTTCTACATCAAAACTGGAATGTAGAGAGCTGATCCGTTTACCAAGCCACTCCCTGTGGCAAAGTGGCCGGAAGCTTTGCAACAACTAAATGATAAGGTATCAACGTAATCCATAATCTTCCCATAGGTTGCCTTACGTACAACCAGTCAGTCTTGTCTGTCTGGGTGCAAGGGTGAGATGTTTTGATCTGCCATCTACAGAACCATTGGAAACGAGTTGCACTTGTTCACCGTGACCATTGGTAACTGTGGTAGCCAGGTCATCACACCATCCAAGTGTCCAACGCCAAAAGGGGGAGAAGAAAAATTACGAGTAAAATGCCTCCCCACGTAGTGCAGCGTAGTGCAATGTAGTGTCACCAACAAATGCCTCCATGCATTCAATGTAGACTGGAATTCATAACCAATGCATGAGGTCATGTTAATACACATGAACCCTGGAATCCAGTTTGCTCGCACTGACATAATCGTATGTCCACTTGTTTTAACTAATTAGTTCACATGCCAAACATCCAGCAGGTCCGGGTCTACAAAATGTATACCACGGCCAATTGTTTGGCTCAAGACATTCCGTCGCACGAAAAGGGGTGCTGACAGCTTGAAGTGTGGTTGGGCCATCAGATCCACGTGATCTTTTGGTTTTTCCAATAGAATTATGCCAGTGAAAAGGGCCCCCAGCTTGAGTTGCTAGCTGCTAGCTATGGCGAGAATTCTCGAGATTGAAGCAGTGAATGTTGGGATGAAAAATATTGAAACCATGAAGACTGCAAGAAACACGGATTCCACCAACATTTGAAGCAAACCCACAGCCGAACATTTCCCATAAAATTCACCACTGCCGACTGCTGCCAGGTCGATTGGCGAGACTTCAGTCGCACCACGAAATTTTGTGCCAGAAAGGCGGAAAGATGGGGAAATTTGCGAAGAAATGAGGGCAATCAAACATCACACGGTGAAATCACTGGTTGTAACATTTTCTCAATTTTACGAGGCATTAACCACAAAAATGGCCACATCTAACCACATCTATATCCTGTGTATTGTCTATGTATGTATGTCTTCGTTGTTACTGGATGGATTTTAAGGATGTCACGACGATGTCGCCATAAATGATTGTTGGTAAGGGGAACCCCAAGAATGAGGTTACAGTATGAAATGATTTATGTAATGCCTGTTGGTATATTGCTAAAATTAGTAGTGTATATACATACATATATATATATGAGAATATGTATACTTGATATCATGCTTGCATTACATATACATATGTATGCATAGACACCATGATAATACCAACATGCACTATCACATTTAAACCTGGATCAATCTAGGCATGGATGCAAGAAAACATGACATGTCGCATGAATTTTGCCAGAGCAATTGCCAGCTTACATGCCAGTATATGTCAGACTACAGGTCAGAGGAATCAGTACATGAATAAGATCTCAGAACATATTATGCTAGGAGAAATGTCCGACATATGTCGGAAAGTCAGGATGTTTGCATGTCCGCATTCTTGTCAGAAGAACTTTACTGCGGTCGGGGTCACACGAAGTAAAGTACTTGGGATACAATGCTTACAACTCCTCAATGGGAGTCAAGCATGCTGCTTTCCTAGGAACAGTTCTCTGTGAATGGGACTTTGTTCCAAGATTGCAAGTTTCAGAGACACATTGTCATGAATTAGACTGACAGTGGACAGGCTTAGCCACATGACACGGCCGACAGTGTTGAGGTTCAAAGATGGGCTGTATTTCTTCGAAACATAGCAAAGTAGAGGAACTTCTATTTCAAATACAGCGAAACAGCAGTCGGAGTCAAGGTGCGCTCTTTGAGACAAGCTTAAGGAATCTTAAGTAGACGTTTGAACAACATATTGCATCACAGCAGGGATCAATCAATCAAGCCTGAGGCCAGGGGAAAACATCTGATCTTCGATTATAACTATTATAGAACTGCTTCCCCGATTAAACTTGAAGCCAAGCAGGGGTTTGTCAATGCGGACATTGCACACAGCGGAAAGCTACAACTCTGACCTCCTTGCCATGTCGATGAGATTCCTGGCGATTTGCATCACAGTTTTCGCCACAGCCCGACCATTTACAGACATTGAGTTCAGACAGGCGGTCTTTGATTGGCCGAAACCTCATGTCATCCAATCGTTTGGACACATCAGCAAGTGGGATGTGTCTTGGGTCACCAATATGACAGCAGTGTTCGCGTACAAAGAGACCTTCAATGAGGACATCAGTGGGTGGGACGTGTCATCAGTGACATCGATGGCTGGTATGTTCCAAGGTGCCAAAGCCTTTAACCAGCCCATCGGTGGATGGGACACATCCAAGGTCAAGAGCATGGCATACATGTTCAAGGAAGCAGAATCTTTCAACCAACCCATCGGCAGTTGGGACACTTCCTCCGTGATAAACATGAAGAAGATGTTCATGAAAGCCAAGAGATTCAACCAGCCAATTGGGAACTGGGACACATCATCCGTCACCAGCACGGATAGAATGTTCGCTGACGCAGAGAGCTTTCAGCAGGCTTTGCCTTACGCAGAGCGCCCCTTCGCAAATTACGATGAGTTCAGATGGGCGGTGCGTGATTGGCCGCGACCTTATGTCACCCAATCGTTCGGACACATCAGCAGCTGGGATGTCTCGTGGGTCACGGATATGTCAGGTTTGTTCTTTGGCAAAGAGACCTTCAATGAGGACATCAGTGGGTGGGACGTGTCATCAGTGACATCGATGGCTGGTATGTTCCAAGGTGCCAAAGCCTTTAACCAGCCCATCGGTGGATGGGACACATCCAAGGTCAAGAGCATGGCATACATGTTCCAGGAAGCAGAATCTTTCAACCAACCCATCGGCAGTTGGGACACTTCCTCCGTGATAAACATGAAGAAGATGTTCATGAAAGCCAAGAGATTCAACCAGCCAATTGGGAACTGGGACACATCATCCGTCACCAGCACGGATAGAATGTTCGCCGACGCAGAGAGCTTTCAGCAGGCTTTGCCTTACGCAGAGCGCCCCTTCGCAAATTACGATGAGTTCAGATGGGCGGTGCGTGATTGGCCACGACCTTATGTCACCCAATCGTTCGGACACATCAGCAGCTGGGATGTCTCGTGGGTCACGGATATGTCAGGTTTGTTTTTTGGCAAAGAGAACTTCAACGAGGACATCAGTGCATGGGACGTCTCGTCAGTCACATTAATGACTGCCAGCGGCTATCAAAAAGAGAGCGCCTCCCGGCCAATTACTTCTTGTAGTTTGCCACGGCAGTCGCGGGCCTTAGCAGGTGCGAAGCTCTCTCAGTTTCAATGCAGCATGGCATGGTTGCTTTCGCATCTTTGCAGTTGTTGTGTTACACCCAGTGAAGTTGCAGTGACATTGATGCATGAACACTGGCCAATCATAGGTGAAGACCCTTTCACTAACCTGACATTCCTGTGTATATTATACTGCTTTGCTTTCTTTTGGGACTGGCTGAGCAGACCACGCAATTCGTTCAAGAGAACGCAGAAAACTCTCAAAACCAACAGAAAAAAGTGCAAAACTCGAAAACCAAACAAAAATATCAAATTCACCAAGTATCGCATGGCACTTCCAGCGAGACTGGTGCGAAATGCACGCCATACCAAAGCTAAAATGCGCCAAAGATTGGCCAGCGCGAAGTTTCGCGCAGCAAAGCTGAGAGCATGGGCCCGAGGCCACCAAAACCGCATCCGGTGTAGTAAAACCCGTAGAAGTTGTTCCAAACTGTCTCATGGTTTGAACCTGGATTTCCATCAGTATGGCATATTTTCCATTGCTAGCGTTTGTCGTGCTGACGCTGCGTCTATGGATGTGACCAAACCAGAGTTGCGATGCCTCCTTGCGGGAGGTGCGGGCGGTTCAGCCCGCACACGTCGTAAGCGCAACAATCCACAGCATGAGTCACCACAAAGCCTGGCTACTGCTTTGACAAATGTGATCCAGCAGTGGCAGCCTAGCAATCAAAATACGCCTGAAGACCACACTTGGGGGTGGCGGAAAAGAAGGAAACAAGCAAATAATTCATGGCAAGGATACCGGGCTGACAGCTCTCCTGACACCAGCCTTGCTCGCGAATTGCTACAGCTTCTTCAGAAACTTTGCGCAAACCAAGCAAGTGACCAGGAAGTGATCACAGCCACCAGCAGGCTGATTGACACCAACCAAGGACACAGCCGTGACCTTGGGAAACCAGTTGCGGGCAGGGAAGTCAGATACAGCAAGCCCCAGAGTGGAGCGAAAGCTTCAAATCATGGTGCCAATCGCTGGGGAAAACAGACCAACCCCAACCGAGGCTGCAGCCATCAAGATATCACTGGTTTTGTGCCCAGCGAATGGAATGCCCAACCAAAGTTCCTATCCGTGCATGAGATCATTTCTCAGATAAAAGCAGGAATAGCCTTGCAAGCCAACATCACCGAAGTTTACACCAAAGAACAGTGTGCGAACCTGCGCACCCTTTGGCATAGCTATGGGTGCAAGGGCTCTTTGACCATGCTGCTCACCAAGGATGCCAAAGACACCCTGGGGGCCACGGCTACCCGTGTTCGCATATCCAGGGCGCATGGCACACCGAAAATTGAAGAAATAGCTCTCCTGCGCTTAGAAGATACCAACAGTGGATTGTGGATCTTGCCCGCAGTCAAAGTTGATGAGGGGAAAATCAAAACAGTCCAAAGAAGCACTGTCAGAGTCATTGCACCTTTGGAATTCCGAAAGCACTTCTTGGATTCAGGCCAAGACCTACCCAGATTGGTGGCGGCTGCCATGGCCCAGTGGAGTGAAAAAATAAAAGCCTCTCACCTCATGGGTGGCAAATGGAATCACACGCAGGTCCATCAACAAGACTTGCTCACAGGCTGGCTGATTTTGCCAACAGAACAGGCTAAGGAGCTTGTTGTCAATAGCGGTCGCCAGGGTGTTTTTGCCCAGATCCAAGAAAACAATACTGGACCCAGGCCCATCCGTTGGTTTCAACGACAGAACAACGAAAATGCCGAGACCTATTTGCAAAGATGTCTCAAGGAAGCTAAGCTCAGGAAAGTTGGCCTTTTTTTTTGAAAAAGCAGCACACCACACACCATTGGCATGGAAAAAACAGCAGCAGAAATAGCTGAGGGCCAAGCGGCCAACTACCTCCTCCGAGGGGCTCCAAAGATGTGGCAGACTGAAGAGATCGAAGATTTTCTCAATCAACAGAAATGGAAAGCCGTGCAACGCATTTCCAAAGTGAGATATCGAAACGAATGGCGTTTTCATGCCCAGCCACCTTCAGCTATGCAGGAAAATTACCATTACGATTTGGCAGAAGGCTACATGTCATGCATCCCAGCTCCTGTCAGACAACACCAGCCAACCTGGCAACAACCTGTCAGAAACACATGGCGAGGAAATGAGCTGGGGAAAATTGGAAATGAAGCCAACAATCCTGGCGATACCGGTGACGTCATGGCAACTGCTCTGGATCAGGACTCCAGTCAAGCTTCACAAAAAGAGGCTGGTAGGGAAAGAAGTCGGAGCCCAGTTCGCTCCAAGCAGCGGCAGGCTGTTGCAGATGACCCAGATTTGATCCCAACAGACATCGCGGAATGTTTCAAAAATGGCTGGGAAAGTCAAGATGTTGGTGGCAATGGAGATTGTTTTTATCGAAGTATTGCTGCTTGTCAACACTGGCAAAAGCATCATAAGTTGATCACTGCTGAAACTGCTGCCCTCTGCGGGGCAGAGCTTCGTGCGTCAGCTGTTTTGCACGCCCAGAAGCATAGTAGCAGGCTCTCTAGCTGGTTTGCGCCAGATTCCAAAGAAACCCCCGCTGAAAGGGGGTGCAATCCGCAGGCAACGAACATCAGTGAATGGTGTGAACTGCAGATGAAACAGGAAGTCTGGGCAGATGGCCTTAGCATCCAGTGCCTGGCTGAGACCTTGGGACTTGTCATTGTGATTTTCAAACAATCAGAGGATAGATGGGACAGATTCACATTCGCACCTGGCTTTAAGCAGGATGTTGCAATGAGCAGACGCAATGCGCCTCCGGTTGTTTTGACCTTAAACAAAAAGCATTTCGAAGCAGTGCATGCCCCACAAAAAACAAAGTTCCCTCGCCCGTGGTTGCTCAAAACTACCAAACCTCTCATGATTGATCTGACGGGGGCTGGCCGTGGTCTTCCAAGCCTTAATAGTGCCACTCCTTCCATCCACACCTGGCGAACTCCTGTTAGTTCCATTTCGCGCCGATCTAGCAGACCCCACCCAGTGCAGAAAAGCATTCGAAAGGTCAAAGTCGGTAGCAGTGTTGATCAGCCGATGGCAGGGACTCATGATGTCCATTCGCAGTCTTGCATGTCGCATGCTCCTGACCGGAGACACAACGCTTCGAAGAGGCGCAGCAGTGTGGCCAGAAGTTCATCCGCTAGAGTTTCTCTTACCGTGGCGCGAACCGATGCCGCTCCCAGCAGCTGTGCTCACCAACAGACTCATTGTGATGCCGTTTTTTCTGTTGAGGTTCCCCTTGCCCATGATGCCATCCAACATGCAGGACGACATTCTGAGCCACTTGTGCAAGCTAGGGATACTGCTCGTGCCAAACGAAACACCAGAGATCGCCTAGGGCCCAAGTTCAAAGCCATCGCCAGCATCCAAGCAAAACAGGCTGGCACTGGATTACATGTGCACCCTGGGAGCCTGGGTTCCGCCGGAGGGTTTCCTTTTGTTTGCGTCAAATGCAACAAGAAAGTTTCGTATCCCACAGATTCGTGCTGCCCAAACAACATGCCTAGTAAGAGCCGCGATGTCTCTAAGCAGGGTCGCAGAGCTGTTTGGAAGGCCATTTTGGCCAAAGCCAACAAGCAAGCCGCAGCGGCAAAGCTGTGCACGGTCAAAGAGCAGAGAGCACAAAGGGCGGAAGCAAACAGATTGCAGAGACAAGATAGAGAGCGAGAAGCTATCGCTGTCCAAGCTTCAAAACCTGATCCGTTAGGGAGCCTGCCTGTCTTTCCCAAATCGCAGGGAGGTGTCTGGTGGAAATGTCCTTGGTGTGATTTTGCTATCCAGAGCACGGCACAGCGTGTTTCCAAATCGCGCTTTAAAAAACGGCACCTTGAAAGGGTTCATGCCACTCAAAATACCAAAATGTCGTCAGGCAACTTGCTTGAACACCCGACCAGATTTTTGAATGCCAGGAGCACCTTCCAGTCGAGGTGGAAGACATTCCATGGTTTTTTCCAACAGCTCAAATGGAAAGGGGCGCACGACGTCCCATGTCAACATGAGTTTTCTAGGATATACATCAATACCAGAGGCATGTCGGTGCAAGTCCCAGTTTATAAATGCAAAGCCTGCTCTAGGCACGTGTCTAGGCCATCCCTGTCCATCAGCGTTTGTCCTCGTTTTGTCGGTAAGTCTCCTTCCCTTGAAAAAAGGAAGAAAATTTGGCAGAATTGTCGTAAAAGAACTGTCAAAGCTGAAGGAAGCGGAGATGCCAGTGCCACCAAGAGAAAACGTTTACAAGGCCTCCGTGGCGTGCGCCTTGGTGAGGCATCACACCCAGGACCATCTGATTTGCACGCGTGGTCACAAAATATTCGCTCTTGGCAAGCTCATGGCACAGACATGCTCACACATGCCAGAGATGCTAAGGTCCAGCTTGTTTACATGCAGGAGCATAACATTTCACACATCAGCATTCCCTCTGTTTCGCAAATTTGTAGGCGTCAGCAGTGGCAAGCTTTGATTGTTCCAAAGCCAGTTAAATCCAATGGCGGAGTCGCTGTCTTCTGCCACGAATCATGTGCGCTCACTGAGGTCAGCCGCATCAGCTCCGAGTCAGGGCAGCTGATCCACGCTGTGCTGCACGGGGGGCAACGGGACATCAACGTCCTCTGTATTTACCGGCACCACAGTGATGCCGATTTTGCCATTTTGCATGAAGCTGCGCTGATTGTTAGCCGCCTAGGTTCGCAAGATTGGATCCTTGCCTTAGATGCCAATGCTAACATGTCACAGGGAATTGCTCATGATATCCTTGAAAATATGGGTGGCACCAGGTGTTCTGTTGCTCGACATGACCGGAGTGTTCACCCAATTGATGCAATTTGGTCTTCGGGAGGGCTTCAAGCCTCCAGTGCCTCCGAAATTCCAGGTGATGGAGACCACACCATCGCACAGAGCTCCTTCCCTCTTGCATTTCAAAAATGTAAGGCGCCACAGTGGCGTTTTTCGCACACCCGAAAAAAAGTGGTTCCCCAGCAAGATGTTTTACATCCTAGTAGTTTGTGGTCATCGGTGGCGGCCGCTGAAAGTGATTGGTCGCAAGCGCTGCTCAACATCGACCATGCTTGGGCCATGTGGTGTTTTGACATTGAAAATTATTTGGTTCAGGCCGGCCTTCTCGATAGCCACCAGCCTGAGAGAAAGGTGGGTGACGTCCCCACGGTCCGCACAGGGTCTCATCGCGTGGGTGCTACTCAGTCAATCACGGAAAGACATTTGCGTAGATTCATTCGCAGGCTTCATGAAGCGCGTACTCTTGCTTGGAGAGGCATGCGTATTCCACACACGCTGTATAATAAATTACTTGGCACAAATTGTCCAGCATCTGAACAGGAGGCTGTGAGAGCACATGCTTGGGGGTTGGCCCACCAAATGGCCACCGTGAGACTCAGGCAACTCCAAGATGCGCACCGCAACGATGCACTTCAGAAATGGCGCGCCCGAATGCGCGATCTCCCACAAGCTTGTCAGTGGCTCAGGAAGGAAGAAGCTGCTCCACTGGCTTTCAAAGATGTTGATCATAGTATTTTGACCTCCCCCCCTAAAATTGTCGAAAAACTTAAAGCTTTTTGGACAAACGTTTTTGGTTTTCAGGAATTCGCTGCAGATGTTGACGCTCTCCTTTCGGCTTATCAGGATGACTTCCCTGATCCATTACCCACACCTAATCTTCCGCCCATCACAGGAGAGGACACGCTCAGGGCAGCTCGCCAAATGCACAGAAAAGCAGCTGGCTTGGATGGAATTTGCCCTTCCTGGTTAGCATTGCTGCCGTGCGAGGCACATAGGCGGCTTGCAGAGATGATGGATGCCTTTGAGCAACAGGGGGCGTGGCCGGAAGCCACTTGTTACTGGAAGATCGCAGCCCTGCCAAAGAAAAGGCATGGCACTTTGCCTTCATTGGGTGAAGTCAGACCAATCGCAATCGGCTCAGCCATCTATCGTATTTGGGGCAGAATCAGATTGGGCCATCTGGCTCCCATTCTAGCTCAATATCTGGATCGGAACCAGTCGGGGGGCATCGGCGGAGAGGACGTCTCCTCCCTTCTATTGACTTTGGACATCGATCTTGATCCCACAAAATTTCCGTGCCTCATGGCACTAGATTTTACCAAGGCATTTGACTCTTGCGATTACACTTTGGCTCTGGCCGTCATGTCCCGGCTTGGCCTTCCTGCCCGTGTGGTCAATCTTTTGGGAGCACAATGGCGGCGACAGAAACGTTGGATGTCTTTTGCAGGGGTGTGTGCGCGGCTCCCTATCCAAAATTGTTTGGCATTACCCCAAGGAGATCCCTGGTCTCCCATAGCAATGTCACTGGTTCTCATGCTTGCGAAGCGGCACCAAGAGAGGTTGGTTCCGGAGTCCAGATGCTTGCTGTACCTCGATGATCGCACGCTTGTTGCTCCCACTCCCGGCATCCTGGCCGCAGCTCTTAATGCTTGGAATGTGCTCCATGCCCACACTCGACTCCGCACTAATTCCAGCAAAACCCAAGTGCTGGGGCGAAATTGGAAGGGGTATCTGGCGTTGCAGGCGGCTAATCTGTCGCCGACTGCCACGGCTGAAGTGCTGGGTGTCACCATTGGCATCGCGCCCAGAGCTCAATCCAATGCTGAACTGTCCCGTGCCAAAAAATGCACAACGATTGCACAGCGTATTAGTGTTTTGCCGGTATCCCAAAACTTCCGGGCCGGCCTCGCGGCCCTTACTCTTGCTTCCAAGAGGGTCTGGGGGCTTTTACTTAATGGAAGAACTCCTACCAAGGGGGAATGCAAGGCGCACACTGAGGATTATCGTCTTGCAGTTAAAGGAAAATTTTTGGATGGCATTGCTTCCAGGCATTTGGAAAAAGTCTTGTTGCTTGGGCACTCATCTGACCTCCTTTACCTTTCTTGCCAGCGTCTTTTGAACGCCCTCACTAAGTGGCGTCACCACCATCCGGGGAATTGGTCCCACAAGCCTAGTAATGTGATTTCGGCTTTGAACGGTGCTCTCTCCAAGCTGGACCTTCAGTGCGACAGCTGGGGCCGCTGGTCCTGGAGTGGGGGGTGGTGGGACTCCGCATCCCCACCTGATTTCGCACCTCGCATGGCACATTGTTTTCGGCAGTTTTGGCGTGCACGTGAGGTCAAAGGGTGGCTGGCATCTGACCGCAATGATGCCAAGCTGGCCCGGGCAAACAATTTGGCTATTTCTGATAACCTAATCACTAAGCTTCACCGGGCGGCCACACATCTGTCCGCGCATGAGATTGGAATCATGTCTGGTGCTTTGAAAACTGACGCGAAAGCGTCGTCACCACCTATGTTTTGCCATGAATGTAAGAAACATCAGTGTCCTGACACTTTCCATGTGCTTTGGCAGTGTAGCCACTGGGACCACCTGAGACGTGTCCCTCCCAGCAGATGTCCTTTGGTTAACAGATTAGGCTGGGGTCCTGAAGGGGTCGACCTTGTTCGTGTGAAACAATGCGCGCATATCCGGGAGCAATTGTGCAAAGTCCAAGCCGGACGCAACTACTCCCGTCCCGAGCCTCTTGACATGGGCCAGAACAATTTGGATCCTCACATTGCTCGTGGGGAGGGCGTGACTGCCCTTCCTGTGGTGTAGAGGGTCCGGGTGTGGGCGGCTTAACCCCGGGCCAATTTGGCCGTGCCAGGTTGTCGCCAGAAACCACAAACCATTAATGACTGCCATGTTCCAAGGTGCCAAGGCCTTTAACCAGCCCATCGGTGAATGGGACACATCAAATGTTGAGTCCATGTGGTACATGTTCGACGGAGCAGAATCTTTCAACCAGCCCATTGGCAGTTGGGACACTTCCTCTGTGACAAACATGGCGAAGATGTTCAGGAATGCGAAGGCATTCAACCAGCCAATTGGGAACTGGGACACGTCATCTGTCACCAACATGGACTCCATGTTCACCGGCGCTGAAAATTTTCAGCAGCCCCTGACTTGGGGCAACCGGCGGGTGTTGCTTCCATGAGGCTCATATCTATTTCCTTGAGATGTGCATCGGATTTCCGCCGAGCAAGGCAGTGACAAAAAGCACAGAAGTCAAGCCAAGAAGCCAGCTCTTGCGCTTTGGCCAAGAGGCACGTTAGTTCTGGTGTTGTTTGCCGTCTTTCGGCATGTAGGAAGGCATGCAGAAACAATCAAGAATTAGAAAGCATACTCGTAGCCCCATTCCAGGTCAACCCACATGGTTGGGGGCGCTGTTTCAAGCTGCAGTTCGAGCCAGGCTTGGTTCACTTCTTGAGTGCCCCTTGAGCAAGAGGGTCGGCTGCCTTAGCCTTGAACCTGGTGGTTTGACCGTTGAGCTTGGCATGTTGAAACCTAAACCCAAGATTTTTCCTTGAGTTTTTGGACATGGGGCATGCAAGAATTGAAGGGTAGGCGCGGGCTTTATGCAGCAAAACTAGCCAAAACATTTTGGGATACGTAGCGCGCCACAAGGCCGCTATTCCAATCTATCTTTGATATCTTTCATATCCATCCCCTTAAAAGTCCACCGACAGGTAGGACTTGTCCCCCCATAAATACCAAACTATGGAACATGGATCTTTCCATTGTGTAGAATAGAAGCAGGGCATCTGAAACTTCCGAAGCCACTTTGTAGAGCCATTGTTTAGGTGCTGTTTCGGAGTAGCAGGGCAGTGAGCTGCCATTTTGTCGACAGGGTGACAACCATTTTGTGGGTGCCAAAAGGTCCAAAAAGTGAGGCTACTACAGAACATTAAATTTGTTACTCACCACTTTATAAAAGGATTTGGCCTGCAGGTTTCAGAAAGACATGTGTGTTGATATAAATATCAATTTGATCCCTTATTTGTCGAAGTGGAAAAGGGCGGTTCTTGTTTGCAACATGACCGACATGACCCCCTCGTTGACAGCGTACCTATCGCTGGTGAGCCTTGCAGACATGTATCTCTTTGCAATGAGGGCAACCACCAAGACTAGGAATCCAAATCATCCAAAATCGCTCGCCAACCAGGTGCCGACTGAGTCACTGATAGTCACTGTAGATATTGATGGTACCTTCTGCCTTTTTCTAGACATCTAAACCTGCGAAATATATTTCCTTTTCTAGATTCCGCGGAAAGAAAGAGGGTACCGCTCCTGCCCCTGAATGTAAGAGTTTTTCTGTAAGTCTTCCATTCTGCTGTTTCAAGCATAAACAGATATAAAGGGGTTTCCATAGCTTAGATGCTTGGTTTGTTGGGCATGTGAGCGGCATGTGTTTATTCCCACCTGTGAGGTGAAGGTATTTTATCAGAGTTGCTTCCTCCCTCCTCCGTCCTCCTTGCTCAACGGCGAGCCCAAGATCTCAGTGGGCACTGAGCGCCAGATCTCAGTGTGGGCACTGCCAGACCTCAATCTCCAGATCTCAGTGGGCACTGTCGGAATTGAACCGTGAGCAGCAGATCTCAGTGGGCACTGCCGGACCTCGTGCCCATGTCCGAGAATGTCAGAATAGATGCCAGAAAGGATGCCAGATAGGATGTCAGACTAGATTCCAGATAGAATGCCAGAATAGAACGTCAGAATAGAATATCAGATAGAATGCCAGAATAGAATGTCAAAAAACATATGGCATATACATGTCCAGATGAAATGTCAGAAGCTATGACAAAAGGTGGGATTACTCGAAGTCAAGTATTCTTTAAAAACCCTTTCAAACACCTCGCAAAATCAAAATTCAAACGCGTAGAAGGAGGGAAAGGACCCCAGGAGCAGGGAATGTATATATATATATAATTATATATATATATATTCAGTGCTGCATGATTCATATCTGTATGCGTGTGTTTGTGTTTGTGGTCATCCTTTCGCAAGCTGTCGAGGTTGTTTGATATTGATCGGTTTTCTTCATTCCAACCCAAAATTAAGTCCCTTATGTTTGCGGTTTGTCACGTCTAATAAAAATATTCCGAAACGGGGCGAGCAGAAGATTACAGTAATGTTTCTACAAAATGGTTGATAAAGAAGTGGAGGGGGTGTGACAGGGCTGCTCTCTACAAAATGGTTCCCAAGTTTTTTTGGGTTCCAGGCGGCACAGAAATTGGCCAAGGTGCCATTTAATATAAATCACCTTTGTGGGTTGCGTCCTCTACAAAATGGATGGGGTCAATGCCAAGGCCTGTTTGTAAGGGTGATTCATTATCAAAAATCATATTTGTTTAAGTGTATCATAGCTACCTTGTCATATCTATCAGATCTGTCAAGTATTCCAGTCCTATTCTAGTCCATTCTGATCTGTTCTGTGCTATTACATCATATTACATTCTGCTCTATTCTAATTCTATTCTGTTCTGCTCTATTCTATTCTGTTCTATTCCGTTCTATTCAAGTCTATTTAACCGCCTTCGGCGTGTTCCGCCGGCCACCATGGAAAGAGCTATCCTGTAAGCCGCAAACAGCCCTTGCACAGGTCCAGCAAGAACATTGTTTTTTGTATAAAACATTGTGTTTGTGTATAACACGGTTTTTCTGTAAAACAGCTCGTTGTGTAAAAAGACGGTTTCGACGCAAAAACGTCGGTTTTGTTTAAACCACGGTTTAAATTTGTAAACCGGGGTATATGTGTAAACCAGGGTTTTGGAAAGGCCGTGTTGAGAAAGGCTTTGAAAAAGGCATGAAAAGGCCATATTTAGAAAGTTTATGCCGGTCATGCGTGTAAATAAAAGGTGTTCGGCACAAAAAAGCCAGCGGATCAAGTATTGGATTTAAGAAGCGACGGAGCAAACCGATGGCAAACACGACAAAAAAAACGGAAACAACCATCGAAATGAGAGCAAGATGTGCAAAAACCAAGCCGGTGTTGAGCAAGGCGTGGGCAGAGTGGAGCCCACCACAACGTAAGGAAAGATGGAGACGAAACGAAGAAGAGCTAGGCAGGGGAGGAGGGGGGTAGGAAGGGGAGGGGGGGAGGGTGGGGTAGGAAGGGGGGGGACGGGGTGGGTTCAAGTTAGACGAGGCAAAAATCCGCGCCAAGGGGAAAGTCTACACAAAGACAAAGACAAAACAGACAGTACAACTACGAACAAGCAAGATCCACAAGACACGCCGGCAGTCCGGCGGATTCTATCTATTCCATTCCACTTATTCCTTTCTGTTTTACTCGTTCTATTTTATTCTAGCCATTCTATTCTGTTCTACTCATTCTATTCGGTTGTTTTACTCATTTTCCCGAGAGCGTCTGAGCGCAGGGCAGGGTTCTTCTAATAGTGGGGGTCTGTGAAACATCTTCTCATCTTCACATCTTCTCACCTTCACATATCTTCCCATCTTCTCATCTTCACATCCTCACATCTTCACATCTGTGCATCTTCACATCTTCTCACCTTCACATCTTCATATTCTCTCTTGCTCTCTTGCCCTCTTGCTCTCTTGCCCTCTTGCTCCCTCCTTCTTTTCTATTTCTCTCTTGAAGACGCGGGGCAGTGCCAACGAGACGCCACGAAATGCAATACTTTCGCACGAAATGAGGTTCGATCGGCCCTTTCGTACGAAATGAGGTTCGATCGCCAAAAATTGAAGTAAAATTGCGATTTCTCGTGTCCGGGCGCAACCCTTTCGCACGAAATGAGGTTCGATCGCCAAAAATTGAGGTAAAATTGCGATGTCATGGGTTCGGTCTCTGTGTGTGAAAGTGTTTGTGTGTGAAAGCTTCTGTGTGCGAAAGCTTCTGTCTGTAAAAGCTTCTGTGTGTGAAAGCTTTTGTGTGTAAAAGCCTCTGTGTGTCAAAGTGTGTCTGTGTGTGTGAACCATCTGAATAGATGTAAAACTTCTATTTAGTTTCTCTAGTTTGCAAAGGCAGGGGGCACAGGCCCATTGTGGATACCTGTGCCAACGAAGCTATTCCACAACGGGGGAAGCGGAGATTGATCACCTCCGTGTACCTGCAAATTTCCAATTTATCGTCAATGGCAACCGGCTAAGCCAAGAACCGGCATGTCGAACAATTGGTTTCTGTTTTTCCTGTTTCGCTGCACTGTTGTCGCAATCTGTCAACTAATTTCTTCTAGCGCTGGACATGGCGATGATTCCTTTTCGATGTTTCTCCGGTCATTTCACCGACCCATTCCTGTCAGGTGTAATTGGAGTGTTTTTGCACGTAAGATGCATTCCACATCAAAATTCGCAAAGATTGTTCTGAGCAAGTGTGTAAAAGTGTCTGTGTGTAAAAGCTTCTGTGTGTAAAAGTGTCTGTGTGTAAAAGGTTCTGTGTGCAAAAGCTTCTGTGTAAAAGCGTCTGTGTGTAAAAGCTTCTGTGTAAAAGCGTCTGTGTGTAAAAGCCTCTGTGTGTGAAAGTGTGTGTGTGTGTAAAAGCATCTGTGTGTAAAAGCATCTTTGTGCAAAAGCGTCTGTGTGTAAAAGCGTCTGTGTGTAAAAGTCTCTGTGTGTAAAAGTCTCTGTGTGTGAAAGTGTTTGTGTGTAAACGCCTCTGTGTGTAAAAGCGTCTGTGTGTAAAAGCGTCTGTGTGTAAAAGCCTCTGTGTGTAAAAGCGCCTGTGTGTAAAAGCATCTGTGTGTAAAAGCATCTTTGTGCAAAAGCGTCTGTGTGCAAAAGCGTCTGTTTGTAAAAAGTTGTGTGTGAAAAACTAT